TTAAAATTTAAGTTAATGAGACTCAAAAATCGACTTGAAAAGTGAGTAAAAATACTCATTACTTTAATTTCAAAATTATTTTCAACCAATTAAAAATTATTTTCAATTAAAAATTATTTTGAATCAAATTGTATGTTATTTTGAAAGTCACTCAAATTTAACACAGTTTTCTTGAAAGTATCAAATCGATACCAACGTGGATCAAATTAATACCAAAAGATTAGATCAATTTTTGCTTTGATCCACATTTTTGGTATCAATTCGTTGCAATTTAATACTTTTAAGTTAACAATAAAAACGTTATGCGTTTCTATGAGTTATACATGCATAAAATTGAACAGATTTTCATACTCGTAAAAAAATTTAACTTTAATTTAATTTACTCCGATAAATTAAAAATCATTTTGATGACAGGATTTAAAGAGTGTTATGAGTTTCCATGAGTTACATCCGTAAAAAATTGTATACAATTTTCTACACTCACAGAAAATTTGAGTTTCAATTCACAAAAAAAGTCCACAAGTTTTGAACGTTCAAATGAATTTAAAAAAAAAAATATTTCCATAAATCACTGTTTGCAATAAAAAAAAAAAAATTAGAAACTGAAATTAAACTATAGAATTAATTTATTTAGAAACTAATTTAATTGGAAGCTACACTATAATTAAAAGTTTTGCCAAGTGGCGCAAACTTTTTGTAATAAAATATTAATTTGAAAAAGAAATAAATAATTTTTGTTCATTTCGACGTTTATAGAAATTTTGGAACATTGACAAAAATTTCGAAAGTTCAAATAAACGGAATTTTTTGTTACTCTCTAAATTTAAATTATTAAAAATGTTTAATAATTAAAAATCAAAATTAGAAATTACTATTTATTAGTTAAATTTACTAATACGAAAACTAAAATTTAGTCACTAATTCAAATTACTCTCTAAATTTTAATTAGTAAAAATGTTTACTGAGTAATTTGAATCAATGACTGATTTTTTCTTTCGAATTACACTAAATTTTACTAATAAATTACCAGAAATAACTATTTGTTAGAAATAATGTTATAGAAATTTTTTTTTGAATTACAGTCGAACCTGGATAAGTGGAACCTCAAGGGACCAAAATTCTTGTTCCACTTATAGAGGTATTCCACTTATCCAGGTCATTTAAGGTCAAATTACTTGTGCAGGGACTGCAAAGAAAGTTCCACTTAAAGAGGATTCCCACTTATCAAGGGACCACTTATCCAGGTTCGAGTGTATTAGTAAATGTTACTAATAAACTAGGAGAAATTGCTGTTTATTAGTAAAATTTACTAATTTAAAAGCAAAAATTCAGTCAAATTAAACATTTTACTAATTCAAATTTAGAGAATACAGTAAAACCTTTAACATACAATTGACGCAAAAAATTCTAGAAAGAATTGTTAATTTTAGAAAGAATATTGAGTAATTTTTAGAAAAAAAAGAATTGTTCATAATACTATAATTATACAAATGTCAAAATAGACAAACGCATCAATTAAAATAATAATTTTAAATAAAAAAAAAACGAATTTAAATAAAAAATTCTAAAAGATAGCAAATAATTCTTACAGATTCTTCCTCAATACAAGAATTGATCAATAAATGTTTAAAAAGAGTTAAATTTGAATAATAATTAAAAGATAATTGCGATCGTGATGAATTTAAGTTCTTTCACCCACTTTTTGCTGAAACAATAACAGTCACGATGATATAATTTTAATTTCTTTTCTTCTTTTTCATCATTTTCATCCTCTTTACAAGACACTGAGATTATGCAATGATAATAATGATTGTCTCTCAGTTATTACGTTTGAGCTTTTTTTTCTATTACATAATGAATATGTTTTTACATTTTTGCATATTTGTGACAAAACTTTTTAAAAATTGCTATACACTGAATAAATTCAAAGAACAACTCAATTACTAACTAATAAACATTTTAATTTTTTCCCAAATAGGCAAATGTTTGTAATTCTTTTTTCTTACGGATGATAAACACAAAGTATATTTATAACAAACTTTTGATGAGATGCAGTTTTTTTTGCTCAATGTCAATACAATTTAAAATGAAAATTTATTACAAGAGTGTATTTTTTCAATTTGAACTTACAAAAGATCAGGTTTTGAAAATGAAGAAAAATTGACAGATGTCAATATTTGATATTTATGAGAAAAAAATAACTAAAAAAGAATTGTTTTTTATAAAAAAATGATTTAATTTTTAGAATAAAAAAATTATTGAATGAATCAATATTTTACGAAGGGAACAAAATGATAAGATCCGAGGCGACACACACGAAGAATAACAAAAGAATAGTATTGAGCAATGTGTCGTAAACTTATTCAATATTCTTATTGGAATTATATCACCACGAATAATCATTTTGTCACCCTTCTGTCTTTTATGTTAAAGAGAAAAAAATTATTCAATGAATTAAAAAAAAGAAACGAAAATAATCATTTTAACATTGAAATGTTATGAATTTGTAAATAATAAAAATAGTATTGAAAGAAACAAAATTAATATTAATAATAATTCATAATTTATTTGAGTTAAAGAAAAGTTTTGTTTTCAATTTCGATTTCGACACAAATAAAAATTTTACTCGGCACAAATGAAATTTATTTGAAACAAATAAAAAGTTTAGTATACCATTTTTTGTGAGTGCGGAAACAGTAAAATTTCTTCCGGAAATAGTAAAAATAAAATTGCATGCACAAGAATTAAAGACAATGAAGAAAAAGGAAAAGCTACTTTATTCATTTTTTCGTGTAATAATAATTAATTTTTTTATAATTTCTTAATTACATTCAAAAATAGAATAATTTTTTTTAAATAAATATTTAAATACCAATTTATTTTGTCTACAGGAATTCAAATATTTCAAATGATTTCAATGTAACGCATTTTTGAAATTGAACTATTTCTAAAAATTACAAAAGCAATTCTTTCAAAATTCAATCATTTTTCAATTCATTTTTCAATTCATTTTTCTTGAAATTTATAAATAAAATTATTTAAAACTTTAATCATTTTATTTTATTCAATTCTAAATCAATTCTTATTAGAAAGTTCTACGAGAATTCAATTATTTAAATAATAAATAATTTATCTGAATAATTGAATATTTCTTTTATTAATTATTTTTTAAAATAATTAAATTTTTACGAAGAATTGCATTGGAATTTTTGATAATAATTAAATAATTGAATTCTTGAGAAGAATTTTATTAAAATTTTTAAAAAATAATTGAATTCCTGAGAAGAATTTTATTATTTATAAAAATAATTGAATTTTTGTGAAGAATTTTATAAAAATCTATTTAAATAATTGATTTTTTTCGAAAAATATTAGGAAAATTCTGTTTTAAATAATTGAATTGCTGTGAAAATTTTTTTATTTATGAAAATAATTGAATATTTGGGAAAAATTGTATAAACATTTTTTTAAAATTATATTCAATTCTTTTGGGAAATTATTTTTAATGGAAAAAAGTAGCTTTTAGTGTGTCATATCATATATTTATTTGATTTTTCCAATTTGTTATTTTTGCTTTATCCCTATATACAGTCTTGTTCACGTCCTTCCTTTGATTCCAAAAATTTAAAAGTATAATAAATCTTTAAATTATAAATAAAATTATTTGAATTTAGTTTCTTCATTTCCTTTAAACTTCGTGCTTTGAATTGACCATTTTTAAAGTGGGTTATCATATAATTATCATTTTCTCAAGGGGAACTTTTATATATAGATATACATTCATTTAATCACGTTACTCTTTATTTTTCGTTTGTTATTAATTTGATTAATACATTTTAACATTATTTTATTTATCTCACGTACCAAATTTAATTTTTCAAAATTTAAACTATGAAAAATTTGTTTGTGAATAATTCCGGAAAAATTCAAAATATTTCATTTAAATAATTCCTATGGTATTTAATTATTATATTACTACTTGAACCAAATAATATTTACTTGAGTTAATTAATCGGTTATTTGAAATAATTTTTTTTTCAGTGTTATTTAAAAATGTGTAAAAAATAAATAATTTATATTAGATATTTATTTATTCAATTTAAAAAATAATTCAACTAAAATTATTAAAAATTGTTATTATAAAAAACTAATTGTTTAAATTTTTTAAACATTTTTGCGAATGAAATGAAATTAAAACCAGTGTGAAAAAAATTTAATATATTTATACTTTGAATTAATTATAATTAATCATAATGATACGGCATTAATTATTAAAATTTAAAAATTTAATCTTTAAACTACTATATTTGATATTCAAATTGAAAAATTGAAAAATAACAAGTCAATTAGGACTTGAATTTGTCTTTTCATGAATAATAATTAATTTCATTAAGTGCAAAATGTTATTTATGAGCTTGATGCTTTTGTTCCTTATAATAATGAAATTACATAATTTTGATAGATTAATGATAGGGAATAGTGATTCATTGGTAAATTCATGTCATTAGTCACTTTTTTTTTAAAAAAAAAGGAAGCATTTAAGTAAATGCTAATAGAAATATAAACCAATAAAGAATATTTTTTATTTTACTAATATATTTTGCATTAAAAACGATATCGAACTTGTAATATGTAATTTTAAAAAATTTTTTAAACTTTTCTTTCGTATTCTAAATTACTTTTTTCAAGAGTAAATTTTAAAAACAAGAAATTTTTATAACAATAAAAAATAATTTTTTTACCGCTAAATATTTTACTCTAAAATTTCATAAAATTTCATTTCATAATCAGAATATAAACAATAATCAGAATGAAAAAATTGGACGAATTACTTTTTTAAAAATATTTTAATACAATTTTTAGAAGAAAATTTTCATTCATTTTCTTTTCAGAATTTACATTTAAAGATTTTTCATTTTCGAATCAGAAAGTAAAATAGTAAAAAAAAACTAATAGAAATTATTTAGTAAAAAAATACTTGAAACTAATTAGTTGAAAAAATTCAAGAAAAATTTTCCTCCTGCAGAAATAAAATAAAAATTCCACTAAAATCAGAAATATTTTTAACGATGTACAAGATGGGAAATGTATGCAATTATACTATTTTCCACGACACATGAAATTATATAGTTAAAAAATAATTTACAATATTCTTTTTCGTTCTAATAATAAAAAAAGTGTTTATTCTTTTCCATCGTCTATATAGAGTGATTTATGGGGATAATTACACCTGAAGGAATCAATCGTCATCAAGTATGACTATAATGATTTTAAAATTACTTATCTAGAATAATTGAATTCGCCCCAAGAGAGAGAGAGAGAGAGAGAGAGAGAGAGAGAGAGAGAGAGTGTGAGAGTGAGAGAAAAAAAACGAAGAATTATTCAATTTAAGAAAACAAGAAAATTCAACGAGAAAACAAAATGGATAAATCGATTAGAAAAATTTCGTCAGGCGAAAAATGTGCCTTAGATCATAATATTTTAAGCAAACAACCAACTCTACAGCATCTCACGAAAATGGCACCTGTTGACATTGAATTCACGGATCTCACTTATTCAGTGCCGACTGGCAGAAAAGGTATGTTAATTTTGCTCTTATTTTTCTATTTTTTATTATACAATTCCGTATCACTATAATTTATAACTGCAATAAAATACGGAAGAAAGTTTTCAATTATGGAACAGCTAAAAATTTATATTGGCGAAATTTTTAGTTACATATTCGCGGTGAAATTTTTTTTCCCGTCTGGGTATTTATATATCGCACTCATAAAATAAATCTGTAATCAAAAAATTAAATAATAAATTTATCCAATTATTATTTACTAGCAAATTGGTAAATTTAAATTTAAATCTGCTCTCTAAATTTCAATTAGGTATTAAAAATGTTATTTAATTAATTTGAATTTTACCTTTTGAATTAGTAAATTCTACTAATGAATACACCTAATAATTTCTACTATTTATTAGTAAAAATCTACTAATATAAATAATACTAATAAATAGATATAGTTCTACTAATTTATTAGCAAAATTTACTAATTCAAAAGCAAAGACTTTTTTTTACTACTTAGTCACTAATTCAAGTTAGTAAAGATTTTTACTAATTCAAATCTAGAGAGTCACACCAAAAAATTATTTATTTCGATAATATTAGTTTTTTGCCATTTCATAAAAAAATAATACACAATTTCTAAATTTTACAAGAAAACGTATATATATATTCAGAAATTGCATTAGCAAAAGATTTCAATCAAGTTTCTGGGTCGAAGTTTCCTTGACAATGATATCAAGTTCATTTTAATTATCTTATACATAATAGATCTAATTAATATTTTAATCAATTCTTTTTTCTCTTTTCTACAATATAGATTTTTCAACTTTTAATGTGCTTTGTTTTTTAATTTCTTAACAAACATCAACATGATTAGCTATATTTTAGTTCATTTACTAAAAAAACTTAATTTACTATAACAAAATTAAAAATTATTTACTATCTAAGGGGTCGTTCCGAAGAATTTCATTAAAATTTTTGAAAATAATTAAATTCTTTCAAGAAATATAATTAAAAATGAAATTGAAAATGATGATTAAATTCTAATAAACAAATTGTATGAAAATCATTTTAAATAATTGCATTTTTCGCGGAATTCATTTAAAATTGTATAGGTATATAATTTAAAAATAATTGAAATTCTGCAATAGGTTTTATAATTTATAAAAATAATTGAATTCTTGCGAAGAATTTTATAAAAATCTACCTATTTAAATAATTGATTTTTTTCAAAAAATTTTATGACTCAAGAAGTCACAGTTTAACCAAAAAATTAGTTAAATTTGACTAATTTTTTGTAAAAAAAAAATTGTAAACAAACCTATTGTTTAAGATTCTAATTTGATTAAATCAATTTTTCGTCAATCTCAAAAACCTGTATTTTAACATTAATCATAAAAGTAATATGCTCACGTCACTATTTATATTTATCAAAGGAAAAATGATAAAAAGCTATCAGACTTGTGGCAAACACTTTCGTCATCTCTTTCCAGAAAAATATTGTCCAAATTTCAGGGTTAATAAATATTCTATCTATGTTTCATTAATTACATTCCAAAGTTATTTTTCCAAATTCGCATTTAAATTTTGTTTGCTTCCTGGTTAATAATCACAAGTAAAAAAAACTCTTTAGAAACTCTTTACAATTTTGAATTTTAACCCATATAGATTAAAAGGAATTCTCTTTTGAATTTCATGATTTCCCCGTAAAAGCTCATCCGATATAACGAGGTGCATGATACGTCTAGTTACAGTGATGTTACTTTATACAGTTGTAAAAAAATAATAGCATTCTCCGTATAAAGCTGCATAACCATGAATTTGAAAGTCACCTTTTTAAACCGTATATACGTGTAGAAAAAATTTCTAGTTTCCTTAATTATTTCGCGTTATTTATTTAAATTGTCAAAGAGGTACATATATGAAAGGCATGTATTTTCTATATATTGTAGGAAGTGAACAACATGAAAAAACTCTTTTCATACTCTCCTATTTATTATTTATCACGCTTGACAGAAGAAGGCAAAAAAATAATAGCAATAACTAACAAGCACAACATGATTTTCATTTTCCCAGACAGTATAGTAATAAATTTAACCAAAATCTCCCCTGCCATCATAAATAACAAAATTCTTCTCTAAAGTTCAATTATTTTCATAAATGTCTAAAAAATTCTTGTCCTAATTTCAATGATTTTCAATATCTACTATTTTAATCAAATTTCCCAAAAAGAATGCAATTATTTTAAAAAATTTTGAATAAAATTGTATGCAAACATTTAATTATTTTCATAAATATAATAAAATTTTTTTAAGGAATTCAATGCGATTATTTTCATAAAAAATAATTTAAAATTCAAGAAAATAATATTTGAATTAAAATGATGAAAATAATTTTGATGAAGTTACAGTAACAATTTTATATAAGTTGTTTAATTTAAAAAAGCTTTGAATTTGAAATTTTTAAATGTCTTAATTCCTGTGGAAAATCCTGTTCCAAAAATAATATTAAAAATAGAAATTGTGCAAATATTTTTCTTCTTTTTCTAAAACAAAATAATAATTTTGTTAAAAAAATTGTGATTTATAAAGAAAAATAATGCAAAATAAATAAATTTTCTATTTTCTTAATCACAGTTGTTTAACAAAAAACAAAAGAAAATTTCAGAGTGTGAGGGACAGAAAAAGTGAGTGAATGAAAGAAGATTCAAATTATTATAGTTATATAATATAATATTATAATTATAATTATAATTATAAAGTAATATACTAATAACCATAATAATAAAGGTACAAGAAGATAACAAATATTACATATAAAGTTTATCTTCCGCATTGCAATTAATCCGTGAGAGAAAATTTGAGGTCAACGCATTAATTCTTCTATATAATGAGAGATTTCTTTGTGCGTTCTTTGAATCTTTACCCTTTGATATAAAGTACTGCGTGATAATGAAATGACAGAGAAAATTTAAATGAATAATTTTATAAAATTGAATTTTTTTTCCCTCTTTATAACAACTATTAATTGTGCAACATATATTGGATGAGTATGTGATTTATTCAATTTCTGACAAAGTTACATTGTTGTTTTTTTCATTATTATTATACTTAAAGACAAAGAATTTATTTGAAGATTAGATGAAGATACATTTTTAAATGTATGTATATATATATATATATACTGCCAACATACAAAGAATAAAATACGAGGAAAATATTTATTATTTACATTGCTTTTAAAAATTCTACACATGTTTCCATATAAACATATATTTATTAATTGATGATTAATTTTTTCTTCCTGGTAAATTTCCGTATTTTATAAATTCTACGTAGTTTGTATATAATATAAATGGTGTCTATACTATTTTTGTTCAACAAAATTCGGCCCGATTTGATTTCGAACATAAATAAATCTACAAATGGCTTCTAAAATTTTTATTAGAGTTTTTATGAATAATTAAATTCTTTCGACGAGTTTCTTTAAATTTATTGAAAATAATGTTTTCAGGTTTAATAAATGAAATTTTTATTCGAACCAAATCAAAAGTTTAATAGTCTCTGAGTCAAACATACAAATAAGATAAATTGATTAAAAAGAAAATATTTACTGTATATTAATGTTATAGTTTCGAATTTTTAATCCATTAAAAAATTGTCTCCTACATTCATTATAAATTAATAATAAAAAAAAGCTGACCTGCTGTCGGGCATAATTTCTTAAAAGTCGAGAGAAAATTTAAATAACCCGACCAGTCCCCTATCATAAACAATAATAAAGTAACTTGCGAAATTTTGAAAGTTGATTGAAAAATGCTATTTTATTTGCATATTTATTTGTAGAGAACTCCTCGTTTCTCTCTTTTCCGGTCAGAACAATGAACGGAAGTTAACAATTAAATGATTGTGAGATTTTTTAATTTACTTTTCCTGACAGCTCATCTCTCAACTTGGAAAATTTTCTAAGTTTTCATTTTATAGTTTACAAAAAAATTAACTTAACCCCAAGATGGTGACAAAAATTTTTACGAGTTCTAAAGACAATTTTAATTCTATTCCAAATTAAAAATATCAATAAAAGAATAAATTAAAATTTTTATAAGAAATACAATATTTATTCAATATTTTCAATTTCATTTAATTTATAGAAATTATGTAGGTAGGTAATAAATTCAATAATTTAATATTAAAATCAAAAGGTCTTAATTTCTCTCAATTAAGAGTAAATTATTATAAATTACGATAAAAATAATACGAAAATAATCTACAATTACTTTACTTAATAATCATTGCGACTAAAAATATAATTTTATTTTTATCATACCTCTGAAGAATGTGCAAATACGAAATAATTTTTTTGTCGAGATCGAAGAGTACGATTATAATAATATTAATGGGAATGAATGATTCAGATATATATTAAAAACAGGTGCATTCAGTTTATAATTATATGTATCTGAGGGTGAGGAGAGATACATGTAGTTAATAAATTGTCAGGAGGTTGTGCCCGAGCATCTATTTCATTAAGATTATAGAAAAAAATGTAGAACAGAAATGAATATATTTCTGTCATTTCTCATAAAAACATTTTTACAAATTTTACCATTCTTGCACATCACGTAGTTTAATTATAAACTTTATTTCACTCAAGTGATTTATGTGTTTATTCAATTATATTTTCTATACAATTTTTTATACTAAACTTCATCTCTAAACCAATTATTTTTCATAATTTTCAGAAAGTTCTTCGAGAATCCAATTATTTAAATACAATTTTTTTTATAGTTCAATTTTTTATATAATAATTGTAACTAAAAAAGTGATCAATTTCTTTTGTTCTATTTTACACTGACTTTTCTTACATATTTCGTATAAATGTAGAATTAATTTTCCTAAATTAACTTTAGGGAGGTCAACAAATTTTAAGCTATAATAAATTTAGTAAATTTGAAATTTTTTCTGTTTAGGTTCAAAAATGATATTAAGAGGTGTCAGTGGACAATTTAAATCTGGAGAACTAACTGCAATTTTGGGTCCATCTGGAGCAGGAAAATCGACTCTTCTAAATATTTTAGCCGGTTACAAGTGAGAAATTTTTGTTCATTACCTTTTACTGACAAAAATTCTATTTTCATATTCATGAAAGAATTTAAATATTTATAAAAATAATTTCATTCTTGCAAAAAATTTTATAAAAAATTTTTAATAATTTTATTCATTCCTTTCGACTAATTTTATGCAAATTCTAATTTAAATAATTGAATGTCTGTGTAGTATTTTATTAAATATTTTTGAAAATAATTAAATTTCTAAAAAGCATTTTATTATTTATGAAAATAATTGAATTCTTGCTCAGAATTTTATCAAAAATTTGTATAAAAAATTGAATTTTCATGAAAATAAATTCCCGACTAAAAATAAATAATATTCATATGTATTCATAAATAATATGAATCATTTTTTGTCAAATGTAAATAATTTAAATCGAATGATTATTTTTTATTGCAATAATATACAATTAGCACCTAATTAATTAAAAATTAATCACTCTACATTAAATGGCAAAAATATTCTTATCGCCAGAGTTTACAATTATAAATTAGAAAAAATTGGCTGATTATTGAAGGACGAAAAACTTAAATTGCCTTATTAACAATGTAAAGAGGACATTAAGATATCGGCAAAATTGTTAATTGCACTGGATGCACTTTATTGCTCTCTAATGAAACATAAATTCCAATTGTTGATGATATATAGCAGGAGAATTTCAATCTAACTCGCGTATTAATACATAAATTAATTAATCACCTTTGATTCAATTTGCAATTAAATTTTCAATGTCATTTTTTTTTTTTTTATCTTCATAGTTGACTATTTTAAAAAAAATCCTTTTAAAGTACGCTGAACTCAAAGAAATAGGTAAACTTGTATAAAAAACTTCATCATTTTTCCTTATTACACAACAAACTAAAAATCCTTTTTTCTCATAACAAAAATTACACCTTATTATATTTCTTTTTTTAATAAAAAAATAATATTCCACGTATAATGAAATGAGAAAATTATGTTAATTCGCTTCCGACATATAAAATAGAAAAACTAATTAAACAAACAAAAAAGTCAGCTATAGTAGTGTGGAAAGGATCACTGACCGAGAGTTCACTTTTTTTTCCTGCACACGTCTATATGTATAAGCTTGTACTCTAAAGTCGGTATCTTTTGAAAAAAAGAACTAAAAATAGCCGTTACTTAAATATTTAAACTTTTCTCATCTCAAAATAAAGTCAACAAAAATTATTTTTTCCTTTTATTTATATTTCTTCTCCTTTAATAAATTAAAGACACGACACTATTATTTATAAATGGACATTTGTGTAATTAATTAAAAACACTTGACGACAAATAATGTCATTAAGAGATAATGCATTACCTCTAATTATTATTGTCTTCCAACTTTTTTTTTTATCGCGCTCTAATCATTTTGAAATGATAAAACAATGTTTATAAATAATGTGCATTTTTATAACAGAAATCCATACAAGTTTTTGAAAGCTCTTTAGATCAAATTTCAAATTTGAAAAATCGAATTTTAAGTAAAACTAAAAATATTAAATCATTTTATGATTCCTTTTCAAGAATCAAATTATTTAAAATAAATTAAATTTCATATTCTAAATAATATTAATTATTAGAGCAAAAAGGCAACGCATAAATTTTGTTCCAGAAAATTTCTAAACAAAACCCTAATATTGAAGATCATAATAAAATTTTACTGAAGACATTAAAACACAATTAATTTTTTTTTCTATAATTTTTAGGTGTGAAGGATCAAATGGATTAATTTCCATAAATGGACAACCGAGAGAACTTCGGCAGTTCAAAAGATCGTCATGTTATATAATGCAGGAAGATTTACTTCAGCCTAGACTTACTGTCCTTGAAGCTATGCGTTTTGCTGCAGACCTTAAACTCGGAAACAGGTTGACACCAAGTGAAAAATTATCGGCAGTAAGTAAACACATGTATTAAGAGAGAAAAAGACAAGAAAAGAGCAAAAAAATCAATTAACAAGTAATTAGTTTCAAGGATTTGATTTCAACTTAAAATTTCATTCCATCCGAATTTAATTTGATTATTTTAACCAAATTTAGTGTTTTAATTGTCAATGTGTCTTTTATACATTTCTTTTTTTTTTTCAAAAAAAAGGTTCCTCATCCAATAAATTTATGTATTTTGTAACACTTTAAAGATAAATTATTTTTAAAATTCACAAATTGACCTTATAAACTCTTCGTATTCAAAAAATCTCTTCACATTCAAAAATATGTATGCGAGTCTGATACTTAAAATTAAAAAATGAAATTTCTTTGAATAAATCAGAGGAATTGTCACTTCCTATAGAATTAGAAAAAAGAATTTAAAAAACTTAATCAGTCTGCATTCGATTTTCAAACAAAATTTGAATAAATTTACTCAAATTAATCTGAACTTTGGATTCTAAATTTTCAAAGTAAAATTTACCGCGCACGTATTTTTTACTTTTATTTATAATTTTTTGGAATTCGTATAAAAAATATTTTATCTAAATTTGTTTTACTTTATACACGAAAAAACCGTTTTACCTGGAACAGCGAAAAGTTTCTCTGAAATAGCGAAAGTATTAATTGAAACAACTAAAAAATTTTTGCTAATATAGTAAATTTGTAAATTAATATTTTCTACCAAAATTCAAATTTCAAACAAAGTAACAAAAAAATTCCTTCATTTGAACGTTCAGAACTTTATTATCATTATCCAAAAAGTAATTCGTAATTTTCTGAAATAATTTTGTTAACTTAAAAAATATCATTATAATAATGTAAAATATTTGACGAGAAGTAATAATGTTTAAAGGCGGAAATTTCTATGAGAAAGTGCGGTTTAGAAGTATTTTTAGATAATCTATTTCTTTTTTCTAAAGAAAACAAACAAATTTGCAAGTAAAATCCATAAAATCAGCCATGAGATTAAAAAAAAAAGTGAAGAAACGACAAAATTGTATTCGTAGAAGTTACAGTGATGAGGTAAATAGGATGCAGAATTATTTACATATTCTGTTGGTGATTTTTGTACGAAGAAAAGTTTCATGATCAGTGTATATAGATACCTTTTTGCATTCAAAGACTCTCGTAAAGTTATTTTCAGATTCAATGAGATTTGTCTTCACTAATTTACATGAAATTTTTATAGCAAATTTTAAAATGCCGCACGAATATTAAAACAAAGAATATAATTTTCGTCCAAAGTGTAAACAAAAAGTTTTACTATTTCCTTGTTAAATTAAACAATTTGACAATTAATAAAAACATCCCTAAAATTAGCGTCGACGCTCAATTTCGAAAACTATTTTTTAGGGCTTTTAGAGATGAAAATATAATTTCAATTTTCAATTATTCTTTTATTCGCCTCGTAAATAAAAAAAAATCCAGTGTATTTTTTAAAAACTTGAAAAAATGTTTCGTTTTTCGACGCTAACTTCAGGAACCTTAATAGAACTGTATTTTTTAAAGTATAAATAAAATCTAAAAATACTGCAAAATTGATTCAAATCGAGATAGTGTCAAACTCGTGACTTTATTTAATTTAAATTACGGAAAAAAAGGTAAAAGATTTCATAGTTTAAATTTCTACTGGACTTCTTACTCACGTTTCAAAACGAAAGTTTTCGATTTCTCTGAGAAACATTTCAAGGAAATGAAAAAAAAATTAATATAAATTATGCAAATTCGAAACAGAAATATTTTAAATTACTATTGAACTGTATCAAGAGAATTGTTAAAAAATTATAGTTTTTAAAAAAAATCATTGTCAGAAATAGAAAAAATTGAAGGTTTTGTATTAAAATTTGTGGTAATTTCATAGTTTACGAAAGGCAAATATATAAAATTCTAAGAATTTATTTTTTCTAAAATATTTTAACATAATTTTTATAAGCAAGTTTTCATTAATTTTCATTTTAAAATTTACACTTCAAGATTTTTCATTAAAATTTTTGAGAATTAAATTATTTTAAAAATTTGTAATTGAAATTCTTTAAAAATTGATTTTCAAAAATGCTAATATCAAATAGGTAGTACTTAAAAAAAAAGTAAATTATTTTTAATTATAAATTTTACAAAATTTCAATTATTCTAAAATTTGTTAATTATACGTATATTTTAAAAATTTTATTATCGTAAAAAAATTAATCAAAAGTATAATTTTGAAAAATTATTTTGTTACCTTTTTTTAAGAATATAAATACGCGATACCAAATATTTGCTCTTTTGAGACCGTAAAGAAAGTAGAAATTCATTCTAATGAAGATGTAATTAGAGCCATTTAAATTAATACAACGATGGTGAAAGTGAATGAGAAATAAGAAAAACTAATTTATGAGATACTTAATATAATAACCATGACAATGCGAGAAAAAATCTAATGCGCAAAAAAAAATTGAGCACCTTAATAATAAATATTTTTTTGAAAAAGTTATTATCAATTAACAAAACTATTCTGCAAAAAAATGGATACAATAACGAACTTTCAAGGCGAAGAAACATTTATATGTAGTTTATAATGGAAATAAAATTTTATATTCTCTACAAAAGAAAATATTATTATTATTATTATCATAAAAAATATTATTCTACAATAATTCAAGAGAAATATAATTTTCTTTCATTTCAGATTAATGAGATTATTGATGTACTTAGACTGAAGAAAGCCATAAATACAATAACAGAAAGATTATCCGGTGGTGAAAGGAGAAGACTTTCGATTGCTCTCGAGTTAGTGAATAACCCTCCAGTAATTTTTCTCGACGAGCCAACAACGTAAGTGAATTTATTTCAAGATTAATTAAAATAAAAATGTAAATCGAAAAAATGTTTATTGACAAAAAGAACTTTTGGAAAATTAATAATTTTGGAAATTTTACATTGGTACTTTTGTCTCCCTATCGAAAAAAAAATTAAAGAACAAAAAGGAAAATTAAACTTCAAAATAATAGGAAAGAAGTTTTAAAAGAATTTTCATTGTAAGATAATGTAAAATTAAAGTAAAAAAACTTTTCTAAGCAATATAAAATAAGTGTAGACATTTAAATAACTAAAAAAATAAAAAAAAGATACGTGGACAAATTTTTTGTCTTTATTTTTAATTAAGGTTTCACGATCTTGACGTCAGGACACTGATCAAAGTAAAACAAACTTTTTATCAGAATTTTTATTTGGAAATTAAAAATTCACGTTGGACTTTCCTCAGTTCAGTGACGTCAATAACGTGGAAGCAATAAATTTATGAGAATTTATCACCAACAAAACTCATCAAAATTAAAAGCCAATCAAAAGGGATATTTTTAAAATCGTAGGTATTTAAGAAAGGATTATGGAAATTATAATTTATCATTATTAATAACAAAAAAGTTTCGTTTTTGTTTAATTTTGGGGAATATATGTATGCAGAAATTTGTATAAAACTCTGCCACAGGTCTTTGAAATATTAAAGTACGCAAACATAACCTCAAAATTACTTGCACAGAATTTTCAAAAAACGTAACATTTATAATAAATTAAGAATTACAAAGCGATCGAATAAGGAAAAATATTAAATTAATAAAAAAGACTCACTAATTGCAGATCGACTTTACGGAGTTATGTCAACATAACCTCCTCTGAACGAACCCACAATTTCTTTTGGCATGTATTTGTTACCTTTTAAAATATCCAGTTTATATTTCCTGTGAATCCTTCCTTTATACGCACAAGTGAAATTTTATCCAATAGGAACAAATATCTCCAAAAAAGCACTTCCATTTGCACTATGAAAATTGTTATTACCACTGATTTCCCGAGCAACGCAGCACCGAGAAGGAAGAATATTTCTATGAACGAAACGAGAATTTATTTACTGAACGCGGCACTAAAAACAACACTTTTTTAAATAAACACTTCGGAACTTTCTGTAGCATCTTTGCACGATGCTCATTACCTCGAAAATATCGATAAACACCGGGTAAAACAATAATATTAAAATCAACACGAAAAAAATTTAATAATCACTGGGAACGCGGTAATAAAAAGAACGCACATTAAAACAACGAATACTGAATCCGGAAGGGTTGATTTTATACTTCGCAATCATTTACTTTAAAAAAAAACCGAAAAATAAAGTGAAAGTATTATTATAGACAAACGAACACTACTTTTGACAAGTATTTTCTTCCGTGAGCTTCTTTTTTCAACGATAGATACCCTTCGGAGTTCAGAAACATAATGACGCTCCGACGTGCCCCTCCAGCGTTGTTCGGTTTAGACTACATCTCATTGGCTGGCGCGACAGCCAATTAGGTAGTTCAAGTTGGGTGGGGGAAATCCAATATGGCTGAAATCAGCTGATTTACCGGAGGACAAACAATGCATTGAATTCAATGGGACAAATCAGTTTTTTAACCATAACTTTTTAAATATTCATTTTTGAACCATAGTGTAATGGAAAATTATTCTTTATTCATCATAATCTATTTTTTAAAACAATAAAACCAAAAAATTAAATTTTATTGTTTTAAAAAATAGATTTCGATAAATAAAGAATAATTTTCCATTACACTATGGTTCAAAAATGAATATTTAAAAAGTTATGGTTAAAAAACTGATTTGTCCCATTGAATTCAATGCATTGTTTGTCCTCCGGTAAATCAGCTGATGGCAGCCATATTGGATTTCCCCCACCCAACTTGAACTACCTTATAGGAAAATAGAGCGAGCGCCACTGGTGGTGATTGTCAAAAGCTTAATCGAACAACTTATCGATATTTTTGGTTTTTTAAACCGTTTTTCGCATAAAAACGGTTTTTTCGAATAAAAACTCTGGTACTTATAGTAGTATCTTTGCACGATGCCAATTAATTACAAAATATCGAAAATGTCGAATAATAAGGACAGACGAGTAAAAATATTACAAACGACACGAAAAAATCTAATAATCATTGTAAACGCGGTATTAAAAGGAAACAAAGAACCACCTCCTAACAGTAAATCGAGAGCGTTGATTTTATACTCAGCAATCATTTACTTTGCGTAAAAGAATGTAAAATTATTACCATAGACAAACGAACACTATTTTTTACAAGTATTTTCTGCCGTGAATTTCTTTCTTCCAACGATCTTTACCCTTCCGAATTCGGAAACATACTGACGCAGTGACTGCAGAGATGCCATTGGGCGGAGGAATTTCATCCCCACTCTTGCACCATTTTACATTTAAGTCAATGTAAAATGGCGCAAGAGTGGGGATGAAATTCCTCCGCCTAATGGCATCTCTGACGCAGTGACGCTCCAGTGAGCCCCTCCAGCCTTGCCTGGTTCAGACTGCACCCCATTGGCTGACGCGGCAGCCAATAGGAAACCAGAGCTTGTGCCACTGGTGGCGATTGTCGAAAGCTTAATCGAACAATTTATCGATATTTTTTGTTTTTTAAACCGTTTTTCGCATAAAAACGGTTTTTTCGAATAAAAGCTCCGGAATTTATAGTAGTATCTTTGCACGTTGCTTATTAATTCAAAAATATCGAAATTGTCGAATAAACACACGAAAAAAAAATAATATTATAAACGACACGTAAAAATGTAATAATCACTACTGTAAACGTTGTACTAAACAAACAATAAACCGATCCTGAGGGGTTACTTTATCCTTCGCAATCATTTACTTTATACGAAAACCGCAAAATACAAAGTAAAATTATTACCATAGATAAACGAAAACTATTTTTCACAAGTATTTTCTGCCGTGAGTTTCTTTCTTCCAACGATCTTTACCCTTCCGAGTTCCGAAACATACTAACGCTCCGGCGTGCCCCTCCCGCGTTGTCCAGTTATGTCTACACCTCATTGGCTGGTGCAATAACCAGGAACCAATAGGAAATCAGAATTGGCGCCACTAGTGGCGATTGTCGGAAGCTTCATCGATATTATCGATATGCTTTCTATATCGTTTTTTCACAAAAATTAAACAAAATAAACAAAGAATAATAAAAAAAAATGTCAAAATAAAATGTAATTACCGTAATTACTAATAAAAGTCAAAATTGAATATATTTAGATTAGATAATTACTGCAGGTAATATTTTCTTAATTATATGCGATTTTTAAATAATTTGCGTTTTTAATTGTCATTACTGCAGGTGTTTTTTAATTGTTATATCGAAATTTACTGTGTAAAAAATTGTAGTTTTTTTCAATCAAAGATCAAACTGTTTTTAATGCACAAATGTGGAAATCTAGAAACCTAACCACACTTTCTCAGTCCGTTACTTATGTGTTACTCAACTTTATTTTTATTGTTTTAGTTTTATTCGTTTTATATAGTTATTGTTATTAATTATTATTGTAAAATCTAGAAACCTAACCTCACACTGTCACTTTATTGTTATTGTTTGAGTTTTATTATTATTATTATTAGTTTAATTGTTATTTTTTTACTACTGTTTTTATTAAAATTATCTTCATTATTAATTTTTCTATTATTTTTATTATTACTATTGTTATTTAAAAGTAAACATTTTTTAGAAAAGTTTAAAAATAATTGAATTTTATTTTTTTTTTAATTTCAGAGGTCTGGATGAATTGTCTTCAGTTCAATGTATAGATTTATTGCAAAGGGTGGCAAAAGGTGGAAGAACCGTAATTTGTTCAATTCACACACCGAGTGCGAGTATTTTTGCAAAATTCCAACATGTTTATATTGTTGCAAAAGGACAATGCGTTTACAGAGGACACGCTGGAAATGTTGTTCCATTTTTACAGAATATTGGCATTGAATGTCCAAGACATTATAATCCTGCTGATTTTGGTGGGTTTATTTTCGCAAAGAAAAAAGAAAAATTATTTAATAAATTATTTAAATAATATATTTACATATTTTGTATTTTCCTTTTTTTAAAAAAGTTAATTGCATAACTATATTTATATATATTTATTAAAATTATTATAATTATTGTAATATACTCTGCTTATATTTTTAGTGATAGAAGTTTCGTCCGGAGAATATGGCAGTGATTTAGTTGAAAGAATGATCGGTTATGTTGATACAATATCGCCGATCACACCAATTGTTAGAATTGAATATTTTCAATCGGAACTTGAACAAGAAATAACAAAAATTTCATGGTGCGATCAATTTCGAATACTCTTGAGTAGAATGATGCTCCAGCTCTATAGAAATCGAGTAAGTTTTTGTTTTCTTATAATTATAAACTCAAGAAATTTTATAAACTATTTGTTTATTTTTTTATATTCATAAATATTAAACAAAAATTTTTATTAAGTGATTGTGTGAAAATTTTGTTCCTCTTGTGCAGAATTATTTGTACCTGAAGTTATGTTTGCACATATTCCTTGGTGTTATCATCGGTAGTCTATTTTTGGGAATAGGCAACGACGGTTCGAAAACACTCTTCAATTTTGGCTTTTGTTTCACGTGTCTAATTGTTTTCCTCTACATTCCCATGCTTCCGGTATTATTGCACTGTAAGAAATTTGCTGCATGATTATTATTATCAAAAACAAACATTTATTCTTCAAACAACAATTTTTATTATTATTATTATTATTATTATTATTATTACTTAACAATATCTAATTATTCATTCAATAATATTTATTTCTTATATTAAATATAAATATTTAAATTTAGATAAATTATTATTTGTGATTTTATTTCATTTAAAGAAACGTACCTTTATAAAAAATATTTTTTCTCTTTCAGTTCCTTCGGAAGTTCATCTCATAAAAAGGGAACATTTTAACAGATGGTACGATCTCAGTCCATACTTTTGTGCTCATACACTTTCCAGTATCCCAGCTCAGGTTGGTTGATTTAAAAAAACTTTCTTTTATTTTAATTTAAAAAATTAAAATAATTTTTAATTTACCAAATTTAAAACAATTGCTAATTTATTAAGTTTGAAACAATTGTAAATTCACTAAATTTAAACAATTTTTAATTGACTATATTTACTTTATGGAAATTTAACATAATCGTTAATTTAATAAATTTAAACCAATTTTTAATTTACTAAATTAAAAAAAAGATAATTAGGCTTCGTCCATAAATTACGTCACACGTTTTTAGCCTACGTAACATCTGAAGGAACCCCCTCCCTCTAAATTACGTCACAAATCGTAAAACCCCCTTTAATAAATTTTTCCAAAATGAATCACTGTCAATATCTAATTTTACATAAATAAAGTTACTTATATAATTAGTACATTTTTTAATATTTTAAAAACAAGAAATATATTTGACATTTTTATTTATTACAATCTTCTCATTATAATAAATAGAGTATAAAGTGTGACAAAACAAAATAAAAGGTTCCCACCCCCCCCCCCCCTTTGTCACAATTAGTCACATTTTCATAGACCCCCTCCCCCCTAAAAAGTGTGATGTAATTTATAGACGAAGCCTTATGAAATTATAGTGAAAAAATATTTTAAAAATACATCTTTTATTTTTTCTGTCAAACAGATAATCCTTGGTTTTATTTACTTATCAATGGTCTATTTAATAACGGGACAGCCTCTCGAAACTTATAGATGTGTAATGTTCTTCAGCACGTGTTTAGTTTCTGCATTAATCTCAGAAACAATGGGATTTGCAATAGCCAGTACATTAAACATCGTGGTGAGTTAATAATATTAATTTATTGAAAAAGTAAATATATTTATCAAATATTTATTTATATATACAAAAAAAAAAGTAGTAAAAAATAAAATGTTGCCTGGCGATCCTCAAAAATTGTTTTTAGTAAAAAATTATTTTTAAAAATGAATTTTTTATTTTTTTTCTTCACAGAATGGAATATTTTTGGGACCAGCTTTGACAGTGCCTTTAATGTTACTTTCCGTGCAAGGAATGGGAAGTACCGAGCCATTGCCAATTTATCGAACATTTGTCATGTATTTGAGTTACATTCGCTATGGTCTTGAGGGACTCATAACCGCCACTTACGGTTATAATAGACAAAAATTGCCCTGTCCAAATGACGAGATTTACTGTCACTATCGAGTGCCTCGAGAATTATTACGTATTTTGGGTAAGAAGAAAATTAAAGATTATTCAATTTTACGTAATTTTTAAACAATTAACAAATATTCTATGTGAAGATATTACAAGAAGTAATAAATTAATATTATTTAATTAAAAAGTTGATATTAATTAATTAATAATTATTTAAATAATTAAACTGAAAACAAAATTTATTTGATTCAAATAACCGAATACTAGACTATTATCAATTAAATATTTACTTGAATCAAATAATTTTTATTTAAGTCAATTAAATCATTTTTTATGCAAGTACTGAAAGTATCGTTTCAAATCCAATAATTATTTGACATAAATAAAATTAATTTGATTCAAGTAAATATTTATTTAATAATAGAGTACATAAAATTAATTGTAATTGGTTTATTTAATTAAAAATTCGTTATTTGAATGAAATAAATTTAATTTTCAGTGTAACAAAATTGAATTAATAATTTTTGTAATTAATTTTTCTAATTTATTTTTCTACTTCTAGGTATGGAGAACGTAATTTTTTGGGTGGACTTTGTAGCTCTGATTGTGACTCTAATTTTATTTAAAGCCCTCACGTATTATTTGCTCCGACAACGTTTGCAGCCGAACAAAACATTCCGGGCACTTCACTTGATTGGCAGACTTGTCAAAAATTATTTTAGTATTCAATGATTAAATGATGGATAGGAATCATAAATTTTTTACACACAAAAAGAAAGTTTTCTTTTTTTTTACAAAAAAGAAAATTAATAATTTAAATTACGTTAAAAACTATACTTATTTAAATTATTAAAAATAATTTTAAGTAATTTTAGAAAATAGAAAACTTGAAAAGAGCGAAAAAAGAATAACAAAAAGTAATAAATAATAATATTAAATATTATTAAAATAAAAAAAATATAAAATTAAATATTTCAATAAGTATAAATAACACCAAGAGAAATTATTCTAGTTTGAGAAAAAGTTTTTCCTGCTCTAAAGAGAAATGTCTTTTAGAACTATGTTTATTTCTCTCTTATTGAAATTAAGCTCTAAGTAGTTAATTTAACAATATCACAATAGTAATTAATTATATTTTTTAATTTTCGGTTTATATTTTTATATTTATAGAGAAAAAACAAAATAGATTTTTACATTCATTTTATTTATTAACTGAATCATCTGTTTTCGTATTTAAATATCGATATTTTATTTACTTGTAATATTATACATAAAAGCCAAGTGTGCCATAAATTTTTCCAAATGTTCGAAAAATGAACTTGAATATTACATATTAAATAATTAATAATTATATTTACAAGATTCATTTTTTAATTTTTACCGCTACTTAGATATTTATATAGATTCAAAATGTACATAAATATATTATTTTCAACATTATTAATATTTAATAAGTGATTAAAATACTTGTGAATTATTATTTTTTTAAAAGTTTAAAGTAATGTAGATTTTTTCCATTTTTTTGTACATTTTTACTGCAAATTTAAAGAAAAATTTTTTCTGATTTTTAATTCAAAAAAGAAATTTTCGTTTCTTTTTAAACAATTTTCTTTTTAAGAAAGAAAAATAACTTTATTTCTCTATGAAATTAGGAAAAATATAATTATCTAAGAAAAATAATTTTATTTCTTTACGAATTTAGGAAAAATGTAATATTATTAAAGAGTTTTGAAAATATTTAATAAAATATTTCAACGCTAGATTTTATAGCAAATTGTAAATATTTATTGTACAAAAGAAAATTGTCAACGAATTGTTATGTATGTGAAATTTAAATAAATATTTACATAATCATGTTAAAATTCTGCTTTTTCTGGAATTTTATTTTTATTTCTTAACATTAAGAAAAAAGAAATTTTAAATTATTATTAAATTTATTTAAGTACTATTTATCTATTTATTTAAGTTTAAACGGACAAAAATTTATTAATTGTCATATTTTTATTTTAACTAGTATTTTTGTACATTAATAAAATTTTTTCAGTTTTAATTTATTTTTAGTAAAATTAGAAATAATAATAATAATAGTAATAATATTAAAAACTTAATTTTCATTAAATAAAATAAATATAATAATATTCGTATAATTTTGCTAAACGCTTTTTAAAAATGAAAATTTATTTTTTATCAGATAATCAAAGACTGATTGAACTTGAGACAAAAAAACTCATTACCGCTACTTTGTGTTAGATGTAATCTAATAATGAGTAATGAATATGAATACATTTTTTCAAAACAGTTTACTGAATCATTTGACACGTAGCGATGTTAATGTTTTGATAATTATAAAACACTTTGAAAAGAAATCTCTCTTATTCAGCCATAATATCATTATTTTCTTCTTTTTATTTAAAAAATACTTTTACAAACACTAAATAAATGAAATTATTACATTTTTTTATTAAATTTATGAAAACTTTTTCTCTTTTGAAGAAAGTAAAACAATAAATCAGGTAAAAATTAATTTTTGATTATTTAATTTTAATTAATTTAAGACTTGGACGAACAAAAATTTATCTAATTATTTATAATTGACTAAATAAATAAATTTAATTTAATGATTAATAATTAATAAACTTTAATAATTTAATTTAATTAAATAATATTTAATTTTCTTTCTTTTCTCATTTTCTTTTTTTTTTTTTTTTTTGGAGTAAAAGAAAAATCGACACTATTTTCTTTCTTTTTTTAGGAAAAAAAAATCGACAGCATTTTCTATTTTTTCTTCTGGAGTAAAATAAAAATCGACATCATTTTCTTTTTTTTTTTTTTTGTGCAAAAGAAAAATCGACAGCATTTTATTTTTTTCTTTTGGAGTAAAATAAAAATCGACACCATTTTCTTCTTTTTTTTGGGAAAAATAAAAATACCCTTAAATTTTTTACTCGACTTTCAGATTTATATATAAACACGAAGTCTATGATGAAGATACTTGTGGGTAGTAAATAAAAAGAGGGGACTTATAGTGACTGGCAAACGAGTTTATTTTCCTTTGTGTCAGTTCAGAGCAGTGCAAACTGTTAGAACGTTCACTTTCTCAATTCCTTTATTTTCTCTCTCCAAATGATCTAAAAAAAAGTGTTTTTGCCATGAATTTCACACAGTTTTGGAGTTTAATTATTTTTCTCATTTTATTTATTCAATGTTCACAAGGGTAAGTTTGTAAAAAAAAATATTTACACTTTCAAAAAAATATTACTTATATAACAAAAATTTCTTTTCATTTCATTTAGAGTAAAAATCTATTTTTCAATCATGATTCATAACAGGTGTTTTAGAACAATTAATACAAAAGGTATGCATTTTTTTTAATATACAAAGAAGTGAAAAATTCCAATTTTTAATTTTTATTGAATTATTTTTGATAAAAAAATTTTTATTTTAGTAGATAAATTATGTTTCACTAATACTATTTTTTCAGTAATAAAATTTACCCAAACAAAAATTTGCTACAATAATTGATTGTATGAAATAACAAATTTACTAAAAAATTAAAATTTACTCTAATTTTTTTTTATAATTAATTTATTTTTATTTTTGTCGTGTAACTTAATTTAAATACCTACGAATTCTAATAACTATTGTTGCTTAAATAATATTTTTATTTTTTTACTTTTCAAAAAGAAAATATCTTTTCTAACTTTTAATAATAATAATTAAAAATTTACAAATAATAATAACAATTTAATAATTTTTAATTATTTAAACTTTTGAAAAATTTAATAAAAATTTCGCTCGAATAATTTATCTCGACTAAAGTCTGTTTTTCTAAAAATGAAAATACTTTTTAGTTGTCAATAAACTTCTTTATAACAGTTGCAAGAAGATAAATTTTCAAGAAGGTCATTTTCATTTATTAATCAATTCTGCATTACATTGCAAAATATCAGAACTATATTTTTCAGTAATAATTAATTTAATAAAATAATTACAGGCTTCGCACCTACTATTTACTACTATTTCAAACAAATTAATTATTTAAAACAATGATTATAAAATTCTTATGAAGAATTCAATTCTTTTTAAAAATAAGAACATTTTTTCACATAAATTCAATTCTATTTAAACATTTTAATAAAATTTTTCCCAATAATTTAGTTATTTTCATAAATAATAAAATTCTTCTAAGGAATTCAATTATTTTTGAAAATTTTAATAAATTTCTTTGCAACTGTTCAATGATTTTCATAATTAATCAAATTCATCGCAGGATTTCTATTATTTTTAATACAATTTTACAGGAATCGCTCAAATAATGTAAATTATTCTTAAAAATTTAATTTCAATTCCTCGAAAAATTAATTATTTAAAAAAAATGTTTTTTTTTAAATTCTTTCGAAGAATTCAATTATTTACATAAATAATTCTTCGAAAGAATTAAATAATTTTTAGGCATTTTAATAAAATTCCTTGCAAAATTCAATTATTTTCATAAATAACAATATTCGTCATAAGATTTAAATTATTTTTAAAAGTAATAAATTTTTTCTTGTAAATTCAATTATTTTAAAAAATTCTAATAAAATCGTTCGCAAGAATTAAATTATTTTTATAAATATTTAAATTCTTTCATGAATATGAAAATAGAATTTTTGTCAGTTTTGTGAAGTGTCTAAAACGAGTTTTTTTTTGTTCGACAAGTTTAATTTTTCAATAGCTACATTTTTAGTTTGAAAACTACTTTTTTAAAATTAATTATATCGAGTGCGAAGTCTGTAAAATTGTGTTTAATAAAAGTTCATTAGAATTGAACCTGAAAAAATAAATCAATTTATAAAAAACAATTTTCTTTTTTATTCTTTTTAAGAAAAGATAAGAAAAATTAATTTCCCCTTTCAAGTATTAAGATTAAATGACTAATTTATTAATTAAAAAACGAAAGATTTTTGTATGGAATTAAAAAAATTGGATTTTAATAAAAAAAATTGAAAAAAAATTGAAAAAAAATTGAATTTTTGAAATTGACAGAAAAAAATGAAAAACACAAGAAAAAAAATTAATTAATTAAGAAAATAATTTTTCTTTTCAAGACGAAAAAATTCACACTATCGCAAAAGATTGAAGGCATCGACGGATAAAAATTTTGATATACTAATTTTCACTCAACATTGGCCGCAATCAGTGTGCTTTGAATGGAAGGAAAAATCACAAAAACACAATTGCACATTACCAGTTGATGACGAATGGACAATACATGGAATTTGGCCGACGCAATTTCATAAACTTGGCCCTGAATTTTGTAATTCAAGTATGAATTTCAATTTAACAGCTTTGTCAGGAATTGAGAGTGAATTAAAATTAAAATGGATGGACGTTGAGTATGGAATGAAACCGGGTTCATTTTGGAAACACGAATGGGACAAGCACGGCACTTGTGCTTCGATTTTGGACAAAATGAATACTGAATTAAAATATTTTCAAATGGGACTCGATTTACTTGATAAATATGATATGAAAAATATTCTCGCCAAAGTTAATATTATTCCCGGCAATGGCTATCCAGTGAAAACTATTCTCGATGGTATTAAAAAAATTCTAAACGTCAATGCACAAATTATGTGCGTCAAGAATCCGGTAAGATTTCCATTTTTCCTACAAAATCAATTATTATAACTAATTTTTTTAAAATACGTTTCATATATTTATTTTTTAAAATGTTTTTTCTAAAATAATACAATTTTTTAGAAATCAAGTAAATAATTACTAATTAATAATCAAGTCAATCAATTCAAGTAAAATTGTTTAGTTTCAAAATAATAAAATGCTTTCTTTTCATTCGCAGAAAACCCACGAGTCCTACATTTTCGAAATACGAATTTGTTTCGATAAACAATTAAAATTAACAAACTGCGATGGAATCGTAAATTTTCCAACCGACTGTAATCATAAACAAAACGTCACTTATCTCGGAGTTGTACCTCACGAGGTATTAAGAATTTAACAAATAAAAAATTTAGGAAAAAATCTAGGACAATTTTTTTTTATTAATATACCAGAAAAAAAAAACTTTTTTCCAATAAGTTTTTCTAGGAAAATACGAGTGAAAACTTAAAAAGAGAATTGAAACCAAAAAAAAGAATTTAATATCAAGTGTCGAATGGAGAATTATTAATCAAGTGTCGAATTATTAGACAATAAGAAATTACCGAAGAGATATATATTTTTTATGTCCACATGTAATGCTTGGTACAAATTGTAAATCAGTATTTGACTTTGTAAATAAAAAAATAAAAAAAAATTTGGTCGCTTCTTAATATTTTTATAGAAATTTCTTTTTCTTTAAGATTAGGTCTTTAATTATTATTATTATCAATAAAAGAAAAGTCTTAATTTCTCTTTTAGTTCTTTTTAAATTAAAAAAAAAACAGGTTTAGCATACAGAAATCGATAAATTGCGATTTAATTAAAAAATAGCTAAAAATCTAATAGTAGTAATATTAATTATTTTCTTTAGCTCACGAGAATTGTTTCGATGATCATTGTATTTTTTTCTGGATAATTATAACTGCCGAGGGTACCAAACCTGAAAATTATTAATAAGATTAATTAAAATTAATTTTCCTATAATTATAAATTATTTAAAAAATTTTTTTTAAAGTTAAATAATAATAATAATATAATAATATAATAATAATAATAATATTTCAAAAAAATTATAATACAGAAATTTTTGAAAAATAATAGTTTTTAAATTATACAGAATTGAGAAATTCCCAAACAATTGAAATTTACTAAAATCTTTTAAAAATAATTGAATTCTTGAAAAATATATTAAAAATAATACAATTTTTGGAGAATTTTAATTATAAATATTCGAACATAATTTTTTCGAATTTTCGAAATTTTAATAAGTCTAAAAAAGTAAAAAAATTGCAATATTTTCAATTAAATTTTACAAAATTTCAATTATTCAAAAACCTTTTAATTGTATATTTTGGAAAAATTAGAAAAAATATTCAAAAAGAATTTTTGAAAGATTTGTTTATAGTTATTTTTTACACAAATAATTTAATAAGATAATTTATAAAAATAATTTACTAAAATAATTTATTAAAATAAATTATTAACTAATAAATTTTCTATTCAAAATTATTTCACCTATTACTAAATAAATAATTGAAAAGTAAATAAATAACTTGTTTATTAATTCATTAAGTAAATTAATAAGTTCCTTATTTACTGCTAAATTTCTTAAAAAAAAAAAATTGAATCCGAAATTAATAAATGCCGAATTACCCAAAACATCCAAAGGTGCGTCGAAATCGTCGTCTGTAAAAACTTTTCGTGGGAAATTCGTCATTAAATTAAAAGATCCTTCTCCATCAGTTCGATTCATATCGATATAAAGTCTCACAGCCGATAATTGCTCCTTGGATCCAAAAGTTTGCGTTATTGTTTGTCCATTTGTAAGTCTTATCTAGAAAAGTACAGTAAACAAATTTCTAATTTATATAAAGAATAAATTATAAAAAATGTATTAATAAAACAGAATTTTTTTTAATTCTTTAAAACAAAATTGTTTTAAGAAATTTATTTACAACATTTATACGGACAATGGATATTATTTTAATTTTAATATTTAATTGTTTAAGTTTTAAGAAAAGTTTAATTGAATTTCTTCTTTAGGAAAAAATATTGGGAACATTAATAAATTTAATATTAATTTGAATTTATCAATAAATTAATAAATTTAATTTAATTAACGTTCAAACTGCTTAAAATTAAGTTAATTTTTTAATTTTACCTTGTTTCTTAGGAAAATAAATTTTGATTTGGAAATATTAAAAATGTAAAATACGCACTTGAAGTCGAGTTTGATTATAGTCCTTTTTAACGGCAGTACTGGGAGCAATTTCAGTTGGACTCGATGCAGTTGGCGAGATTGCATTTGGCGTCGCAGGTGGTGTTTGCTGATTACTTGCACCAGCAGCTTTTGCTCTTCTCGCTGCTTTATCGGCTTCAATTTGCTCTCTAACCCTTTGACGAGCTCTTTTGTCATCCTCCTTCTCGCGTCTTCTTTGCTCCAATATCCTTTGCATTTCAACTTCCTCTAATCTTTAAAAATAGAAAAATAGAAAATTAATTTTATGGAAAACTTCCTTTTTTTATAAATATATACCTAAAGATTTTTTTCTTTAATTTTAAGATTAATTAGATAAATTTAAGATAATATTAAGATTACTTTTTTCTTGCTTCGGACATTTCTTTTCCAGAACGTATTCTTAATTTCTCCTTCTCGAATGATTCGTGCTTTTCCTTTTCCTCACGCTCCTTTCTTTTCTCTTTGAGTTTTTCCTCTAGTTGCCTTAATTTTTCCCTCTTCTCCTCGTCGGTCAATGGTTTTTTCGACTCTGTACTCTCGGAAAATTGATCGTGACCCGATTTTGTCGCATGAAACTCGACCTCGAGTGTTGAATTAAATAATTTTCCGCAACTTTTGTTTTTTTTTTTTTTGAAGAAAGAAAGAAAGAAATATTAATTCTTAAAAAATAGAGGAAAAGTAAATTCTTTCCGGAAAATAGAGAAAAAATTTAGAAAAATTTGTGACTTACACGTCACATTTCATCGATTTTGCGACGTCCTTATTTTCTCCACTTGCACTAGCCATATCCTGATTTGGTTCGGCAGCAGAAACCGTATCAGGAGCACTCTCTCCAACTGGTGATTCTGCAGGTGATTCGGGAGGTTCCGATTCATCGTTGTGCGCCAACAGCCTTGATAATTAATTGATAATTAAATTCATTTTTAATCATAATGACAATAATTATTATTTAAATTATAATATATTATTAATTATTACAAGTTTCGCACTTGATAATTAATTTCAAAAAAGGAGAAAAAAGTTGTTTTAAGAACAAAAAAAAACTAAAATTCATTTTTGATATCAATTCTTAATAGAAAGTTCTACGAGAATACAATTATTTAAATAGAAAAATAAATAAATTATTAAATAATGAAATATTTCTTAAAATTGACTTTTTTAAAATGAATTTTATCAAAATTTTTATAAATAATTGAAGTACTGAGAAAATTTTATTAAAATTATATTCAAAATAATTGAATTTTTTTCAACTTTTAGCGAATTTAAAGTTGTGCAAATTCTGAAAAAAGAAGAAAAAAGTAATAAAGTTATTAAATTAAACAATAATTAATAATAATAATAATAATAATAATAATAATAAAATATTAGTTTTTTAATTAAACAAATTGTAATACAAACTAACTTTGACTCTTTTTCATGAAAATAATAATTCAGAAAGTTTTTAAACATTTGCTTCATTTTCTATTTTTAATTTAGTTTTCATTTGTTTAGTTCCTTAAAAATAACCTCAAATGTGACTTTTCGAAATAGTGAAAAGTGGAAATATCATTTTTTAAAAACTCAGTTCCCTTTAACATATTTTATACTGTAAATTTTAAATTCTTTAAGTTTCCTCTTTCTTAATAATATTTTTCGCATTTTCTCCACTTTATAACGGTTTTTAAATTAATCTTTTGCTTAAATTCACAGAAATTTTAAAATGTCAATTTTCTTTTATTTTCGATACAAAAACTAAATTTGAGTCAACAATGTTAATAATATTACAATGATAATTCTTGAAAAAAAAATTGACAGTGCAAAAGAATAGTGACATGCAAAATTTTCGGAAAAGTGCAACAAAAACATTGAAAAATTAAAATACCTGAAATACTTTTAAAAATAATAATTGAAAATTTATATGTAAATTTTACCATTCCATTGCTGGTTCTACACCTTTATTTCCCGTTATTTGCAGAGCTTTTTCCCTATAAAATGGATAAAATCAAATTTGTAAGTATATTTTGAGGTTATGTTTCATTTTTATACATAAAAAATGAATATTTTTATTAAACTTACGCGCTTGACATGGTAAATCCCATGTCAACCAGCATTGCAATATCGGACGACGACATTTTTGTTTATAAAAAAAAAATTGTGTTAATAGACAACGATGTAAATTGGGGAAAAATAATAAATTAAAATTTGTCACAAATACAAATTAAACGTCATGTCCATTTCAAGATCAAAAGACGAGACGCTCTATACTGTAAAGCCGGGAAACTAACCGGATACCGGATGTGCCGGAAGTTGCGTATACTTTAAACTCGGGATATATTTCCTGTTTTTGAAAATTGTCAAGTTATTTTTTCATTAAAAAAAAGAGAGAGAAAGAGGGAAATTTGGGATTCAATGAAACGTTAAATTTTCAAAAGATAAAAGATCGGAAAATATATTTTTGGTTTATTATATACACTCTTTATTTTTATTTAATAAATTAGTTTCTTGATTTGGAAGACTTAGTCAACACTTCACAATTTTAGTTTTACTTATTACCTAGCAATCGAATTTTATTTTATAACTTTTTAAGTAGGAAATTAAAATTATACTGAAAAGTAAAAATTTTTTCAATATAATTTTAATTTCCTACTCAAAAAGTTAAGAATTCTATTTATATTTGTAAATATGTGAAAATATGAATAGAAAAGAAAATTATAGGAAAATTAAAAATTTAATTTTAATTACAAAAAAAAGGAAGTGGAAAAAAGTGTCGGATTAAAAATATTAAAAAGATTTAATTATCAAACCAACTTCTTATTTATTATTTAAAAAGAAACAAAATTATTAACACAGAAACGAACAAAATTACAAAAAATCATTTGTTCCTGGAATTACACAAATTACAAAAAGAAACATCGACGTTTAATTTACATAAAAGAACATTAATAACACAATTACAAAAAAAACATGGACGTTTAATTTACATAAAAGAACATTAATAATTTGTGCCTGGAGTTGGTTATTATTTTTTTTTTTTAATCTGAAAAAGATTTTCGTCACTTCTTCAATAAAAAACCGGGTTTCATGTACAAGCTACTCTATCGGTAAGAAAATGTTTACCTAATTATTTAGACATTAAAATTAAATATTATAACAAGTTTCACTTAGAGAAATAGACTTTTTTCCTCAATATTCTTGAGATGTTTTATTGGAACTTCCACTGCCACCTGTGGTTCCTGTTTTTTTCGGCAATAAAACCGCTTGGATATTGGGCAATACACCACCCTGAGCAATAGTTACACCTGAGAGCAATTTATTCAACTCCTCGTCATTTCTGATGGCGAGCTGAAGATGCCTTGGGATGATTCTGAAAATTAAATTTAAACAAATTAATTCTCTTTGAAATTTAATACTATAAACTAAATAAAATCTATCTAAACTACATCTAAACTACTAAAAAAATAAATAATTTATTGAATCTTAATTAAATGTTTCTTAAAATTGAATTCTTATACATAATTTTTTCAACAAATTTTTAAATAATTTAATTCTTTCGATGAATTTTAAACAAAATTTTTACGAATGATTACATTTTTCGAGGAATTCGATTAAAATTGTATTAAAAATAATTGAAATTCTGCAATGAGTTCTATTATTTAACAAAATACAATTGAATTTCCATAAAAAAATGTATTATTTGTAAAAATAATTGAAACTAAATCTTGTAAAGAATTTTGTCAAAATTTTTTTAAATAATAGAATTTTTAAAAGAATTTTATTTAAATTTTTCGAAATAATTGAATTTCTTAGAACCATTTTTTTTAATTCTCTGAATTTATTTGAATTCTTTCGAGAAGCGTCATTAAAAAACTAAAAATAATTGAATTGGTGCGAAGAAATTTATAAAAAATTGCTAAGTAATTGAATTCCTGTAAAATTGTAATTAAAATTTTGTTTAAATAATTGAATTCTTTTGGAAAATTTTATTAAAATAGATATTAAAAATAATTGAAATGAGGAGAATTTTTGAAAATAATTGAAATTTTGTCATGAATTTTATTAAAATTTTTGAAAATAATTAAATTTTTGTTATAAATATTGTTATTTATGAAAATAATGAATTTTATAAAAATTCCTGAAATAATTGAATTTTGACGAAGAATTTTGAATTCATAAAAATAATTGAAATTTTGACAATTTTTATTTTTTAGATTTTTTGAAAATAATTGAATATCTGCGAAGAATTTTATTAATTTTAAAAATAAGTGAATTCATCTGATGAATATTGTTATTTATGATAATAATTGAATTTTGCAATGTTATAAATTTATGGCAGTTCTTCAATATAATTAAGTCATTTAAAATAAATTTTTGTCAGAAATAAATTTTCTTTTTATTATATTAAATTGAATGAGTGATCAATTAAATAAATTCAAATAAATGCTCCGAAATGCTCACAAATAAATCTTTGTATAAAATTAAAATCATCAAAATAAAACAAGACGTATTATTTTGATAAATAAATAGAAAAGGTCAACCAAATTTCGAACTAAATACATAAATATATAAATTAATAACGGTTAATGAATTTAACTTATAAAATTTCAAAGTTTGATGAATTTTTTCATTTTTTACTCACGCAGAAAATAATTTACTATAATTTTAAGACCTTGATTAAAATTATATCAGTAATTATTGTATACTTGAATCGTGTGTCCCTTTTTTCAGTAATATATCAACACGAAACAAAATAGAGTTAAATAGAAAAATTTTGACCGACAATCACAATGAACATATAATAAAAATATTGATAAGAGAAAAATAGAAAAAAAAACAAGAAAGAGAAAATAAGGGAATAAGAGAAAGAAATACCTCGATTTTTTGTTGTCACGTGCAGCATTTCCAGCCAATTCCAATACCTCAGCGGCTAAATATTCCATAACTGCTGCCAAATAAACTGGTGCACCAGCTCCAACTCTCTCGGCGTAGTTTCCTTTCCTCAAAAGTCTATGAATCCTACCCACTGGAAACTGTAAACCAGCTCGGCTGCTGCGTGACTTTGATTTCGCTTTTGCTTTTCCTTTAAAAAATATAATCACACAAACACAAAAAATAGAAATGAAATTATAAAATTCACCGGAAAAATGTAAATATTTCAGTATAATTACCTCCTTTGCCACGGCCAGACATTTTTGTAAAAGTTTTTTAAAGGTATAGAGAGGAAAGAAAAGAAATTAACGTTCAAACTGAACAGAAGTACAAGTGAACACAAGTGAATAATAAATTTTTAGGGTTAAGATCTATTTCACCCGGTGTGAGAAACGTGAGAAACAAGTGAACGGCTTTTTTGGCGCTGTTGTCGCTTCAATTTGCGCGGGATTTCTCTCTACCGGAAGTTAAATATCACTGCATTTGCGAACGACCAATGAATGAGTGGCGGGAATTTTGTAATACAAAAGAATTTAAATTTCCCGCCACTTTTTCGTTGGTGAAGTAGAGTGAGAAGTTTGTGCGCATGCGCGAAATGTGCGCGCGTCCCACCCAACGGAAGTCGATCACAACGCCATTTGGTTATTATCGATTCTAAAATATTCAAAGTCAAAAGAAAAATCAAGAAAAATAAGCATGTTCTGTGCATGCTTATTAAACTTTTTATGATTTGTTTCTCTTCTCTCTATTAAAAATTTTACTCAATGTTCCAAGTTTTCCGTAATGTAAATAAAGTTTTCCGGATAAAATTTGCTTCCTATACTCAAAAAGCGTCGATAGTCTATTTTTGAGGTTATATATTTCTTAACCCTTTTAATTTTCGTTATTTTTATTATTTATATATTATTGAAATTATTAATAATTATTTCCACTTGCGATAAAACAATAAAGTTAATATTTTCTTTCTACACATTGGTTTATTGGAGTAAAAAAAATACAATTGAGAAAACTACAATGTCAGGAAAAATGAAAATATGAAAATGATAACAAGGATCCAAGGATTAATGAGTAAGTACATTTTTGTGTAAATTTAAAAATAATGTAAAAAACATAAGTCCAAAAATGCAGCATAAGTAAATTGACAACTCGTATTTTTTGGGATAAATAATCACTTGATTTTGATTTGAATTAAAACTTAAATTCATTTCAATATTTTTATTTGTTTTTCGAAATATTGGCATTTCCTCGGATAGTTCCTCAGACAGTTTTTGCGAATTTAGAATTAAAATCGAATCGCTTTTTATATTTATTATTTTAGAATTAATTTTTTTACTAAAAATATAATTATATAATTCTATTAATAATAATTAAGCAATTTATATGTTTTAAAGAGAAATTAAAAATTTTAACTTACCTTCGTGAAAAGAGAACGATCGAATGGATCGAATTATAATTTTTTTCCCTACTTTTTCTCAATATCAATAAATAAAAAGAAAATAAATTCTACTGATACAAAATATTTTTTTTTAATGTACCAAATATAAGTACACTGAAATTTAATTATAATTTAATGTAAAAGACATTTTAATGTATATCTAAAAATTTATAAATAGGTAATATATATATATATATATTTTTTCGTAAATTTAATGAGAAAATTAATTAGATCCGCACTAAATCGATAAATATAATACTTTCTCCAACATTAAAACTCAATTATTCTTGATTAATAGTTTCCTCATTGAAATTTTTATTTATTTACTTTATTGAACTTCAAATTTTTTAATTATTAAATAAATAAATTTATTTATTTAGTAATATTAATTATTAAAAAATAGTAAGTAAATAAATGAATATTTTTTTGAAAATGTTCGTTGAATATTTAAATATTAAAATAAATTATCGTTAAAAATACTAATATATTTCTATTAACTAATTACAAGGTGAGGTGTAAATAAATTTAGAGGAAAAAAAAGATTTAGTTTAAAATTTTCAATGGTTTACTTCTAGGCTCACATTTTGGCCAAATCAAAAAGAAAAAAACGACAAAAAATTTTGCCGTCTTTTTATTTCTTACACGTTTACATAAAAATAATGATATTTACAAATGTAGGACAATGGTTATAGGCACTCAATAAACAAAAAAATATTAAAATTATAGACGGGTCAGTTCTTCTTCGCAATTAATAATTATTAATGATTTAGGCTGGAAAATCCATTGAGAAGTGCCATTTCAAAACAAATAGTTTATTGAAAAAATATTGCTCGCCTCAGAAAATAAGTAAATTCCCTCCCCAAAAAAATACCTTTTCTCATCAATCGAAGTAAACAGCAAACGCAAAAACACCTTATTTTATTTTCTACTAGTTTGAAAAATATTCCCAAGAATTTTTTTTCATTTCAACGTCATTTTCAAATATTTTCACGAAAATGAATTTTTTAAATCAATATTTGCTATTAATTATTAATATTAAAAATATATTTTTCTTTCAAAAAGAACCGAAATGGAAAAAATTAACGTCGGTGAAGTTAACAACAAAATATAATGATAATAATAATTATTTTTATCATTATTTATTTTATTTATTTAGTTCACAACTCAATCCAACGATTGTAAGAAAAAATATTTTTCACCTAGAATACAATATTTTTTATTGACAAATTTTTATTTTTTAAACTGTAGATGAAGAAATTATTATTATTTATTTGAATATATCCTACAAATTTTTCAGTAAAAAATTTGAATAAACAATAATATAAATAATAATTTAATTTATATAAAATAAATAATAATATAATTTACGACTCGAAAATTAAAAAAAACAATGGGAAAATTTTTCTATCCGTTCGTTATGGATAATAATGGAATGTTGAATGCTGAATAACGAGCAATAATGGAATCAGTACTCCTCTGGAGTCTCGAGCAATTTTTTATTTTAAGTCACATTTATCTATAAGTACCTCGCCTTCAAAATTCATTAAAATGCGATCACTGGCCTTTTTCTGTTTTCCATTGGAAACAAGGGTAACAAAACGAAGGATACGTCGTAATTAATTTTTATAATAAGAGAGAAACGTGCTTTAAATATATCATAGATATTGATATTATTAAGAGTAAAAAAACGTTCCTTCTTTTTCTTTTCGCCTTTATTAATATCAAAATCTACAATCGTTATTTTTAAAATAAAATTTTTATTTCCAAATACCAGAAATAAAAATTACGTTCCTCTTTCGCAAACGGAAAAAAATACTTTTTTTCAAAAAATTACAAAATTCCTCTCTTTTCTTCGATTTATTTTCTTTTTTTACGTTTTTATCTTTGTTCTAAGAGTTTACAAAATACAGACTTCACAAAGGAATTCCTACTGTGGATTTTCCATTTGTTTTTGTTTGTTTGCTTGTTTTTTCTATACAGCAATATTGATGCTTTTTGAAATAACAAAATAGTTTATATTCGAAAAATTTCAATTGAAATTGAATTTCTTTTGTCACATTATTGATATTTTTATGCTGTTTATTAATAAAATACCAATTTCGTGGCATTTTTTTTCATTATTTGCAAAAATGTGCCGACGTCCCTTCGAGTACGATACAAATATCAAGGTTCACATTACAGCGAACAAAATAAGTTACACGGTGCTTTTGTTTCTATTTGTTTCTTCTTCTTCTTCTTCTTTCTTTCTTCGTTTAAAATATTATGTTACAAATTACAATTATTTATACGCGGAGCTTAAGAGCTATTGGCAGAAAAAAACACTTAACAAACGTTTTTTGAAAACGATTTTTAGGAAACAATTTTTTTGAAAAAGTATTTTTGTAAACAACGTAAACAATATAAAAACAATTTTTAAAAAAAAGTTTTTAAACAATTTTTCTACGTATTTTACTTTTTTGATATGATTTTTTCCATCTCTTACAAATTTTTCCCTTTCTGCACGTGACTCGAAAAAAATATCGAAACATTTTCTTATTCCAGAGTTAATTTTTTTTTAAATAACAATTAATTCGCATAAAAAATAACTTAAATTTATAGAATTATTAAAATATTATGTTTTCCTTTAAAAAAGGAAATATTTTTGGGAAATTTTATTAAAATAGTAGATATTGAAAACCATTGAAATGAGAAAAAATTTTGAAAATTATTCAAATTAGGACAAGAATTTTATTTGACATTTTTGAAAATAATTGAACTTTGGGGAAGAATTTTGTTATTTATTTTGGATTTTTTAATTGTAGTGTTTAAGAAAATAAAATTAATTATGATAGATAGAAATTATCTATATTAATGTTCTAAAATTTGTTAAAATGATATTAAAAAATTATTTTCTTTGTTTCTAATTTGAAAGTAAAAATTTACAACAAATTATTTTGTTCGATTCTAATTTGAAAGTAAAATTTCAAGTTGACGAATTTAATCTGACTCTCCAATTTTTTTATTAAAACCGAATGATTAATTCGGTTAGAATTAGGAAATAAAAATTAAGAACGATTAGTTCTTAATTTATTTAATCCATTACAATTTTTTTTTGTTTTATTTCCTTTACGAATTGATTTCAATAAAATCAGGCGAAATTTCGAACCGAATTTTAAAATTTAATTTTAATTATTCGCAGTTACAGAATCTATATAAAAATGTAAAAAATAGAAAGAAAAATAAAAAAGCTAAAATCGAGCTTTAAAAAACATCTAAACATTGCACTTGACAGCTCGTGTTTCTCTATTTTGTAAAATAAAGAAAGGAAATAAATGTTTCGATATTTGTCTCGGCAAGAAAAATTCTATAACAAAAATTTGTCAAAAGAATAAAAGTTAACAGTGAAATTTCACCGTTTTGTTGTGTGACTGTTTTAAGTGCCAATGGCCCTTAACCCTTTGATAATATCACAGATGAAAGAATTTCCGTGTTGTGCGTTGCGCATCGCTACCTAAGAGCCCTGACAAGTGCATTGATCCTTTCAATTTTTTGACTAAGAACACGTTTCTCGGAATCTAATGAGCTTCTCAAATCCACCAATTCATACCATCTTCGCTCCAATTGCAAGGCTTCGGATCGCAAACTGTTCGTTTGTCCCACTAATTTCGAAGTCTGAACAGTCAATACCTTCTTTTCCATTGTCTTCTCTAGAATGTTGAGAGGAAACAAAAAGAATATTCAATTATTTATACAATTTTCAGAGTTGCCACAGGTCAGGAAAATAAGGGAAATTAAATTTTTAAAATTCATAAGAAAATTCTGAATTTTTGTGTTTTTTTTTGTTTGACTCATAAACTATAAAATTGCCAAGAATTCTAATATTAATTTTGAATGAATTTAAATAGAAATTTTAAGAACAACTGATTACAGAAATTCAATTATTTTCAAAAGTGATAAACTTCTTCTCATAAATTCAATTATGTTCAAAAATTAAAAAAAAAATCTAGTCAAATTCCCAACTATTTTTATAAATAATAAAATTCTTATCCAAAATTCAATTATTTTCAAAAAATTTAATAAAATTCTTGGCAAAATTTCAATTATTTTCAAAAATTCTCTTCATTTCAATTATTTTTAATATCTATTTTAATAAAATATTTTCAAAAGAATTCAATTATTTTCAACAATTTTTAAGTAATTCTTGCAAAGGAATTCAATTATCTTGATAAACATCAAAATTCTTTCCATAAAATCAATTATTTTAAGGAATTTTAATAAAATGTTTTTTCATAAATTAAATTATTTTAAATAAATATCAAAATTCATCAAAAGAATTAAATTCTTTTGAAAAGTAATAAAATTTTTTGCAGAAATTAAATTATTTTATAAATTTTTTTAAAAATTCTCGTCAAGAGTTAAATTTTCTTTATAAATAGATAGCGAAATTCCTATCAAGAATTAAATCATTGTCAAAAATTTAAATAAAATTCTTGGCAAAATTTAATAAAATACTTTGCATAAATTCAATTGTTTTCAAAAATTATTATTTAAATTCTTCTCAGAAATTCAGTTATTTAAAAAAATTTTAATAAAATTCTTCAAAAAGTTTTCAATTATTTTCAAAATTTTTTATAAAATTCTTTAATATAATAAATTTCATTAAAGTTTTTATTAAATTCCCTAAAAGAAATTTAAAAATTTTCAAAAGTTGTTGATAAAATATTTTTATTTAAATTAAATCGTTTTATTCGAGTAAAAACTTTTTATTTAAATTAAATTGTTTTAGTCGATTAAAAACGTTTTATTTAAATTAAATCGTTTTATTGGAGTAAAATCTTTTTATCCAAGTAAAATTTCTTTTGATCAAATAAAAAACTTTTATTCAAGTAAAATTACTTTTATTAAAATAAAAATCTTTAATAAAAATTTATTCAACTAAATTTTTTTTATTAAAATAAAAACTTTGAACTGATATTCAAAATTTTCAGTTTTTGATAAAAATAACAATTTTATTGAAATTCGGAAAAATAGTTGAAACTCGATGCACAAGAATTTTAGTGGAATGCTCAAGTGCCTCTTTAGAAAAAATTGAAATTAAAAGAAGGAAAATAAACTAAAAAAAAATTGAAAAAAGGATAAAAATCGATAAAAAGAATGTAAATTCGAAACGATTTTATTTACCCTTTTGATAATCCCTGTAGGCTTGGACAATATCTTCGATTCCATTCCACTTGGGCTTATCGCTGTTATCATTATTGCCCATCTCTTCGGCGTCGTCATTTATTTCCGAATATTTGTAATGTTTCACTCCATTTTCGCCTGGAAGTGGAAGAATTGGATAATAGGCGGAGACAATATTCGGCACTAATGGCGGAAGTGGTGGCGGTCTTTCTGGTATGTGCTTGACTTTTATTTTATCCAAAAGCCTCATTCTTTGCGGTGGTTTTGGCGCTGATGGTGGATTATTTGAATAAACTTTGGCGATTCGATCACAATATGCAGTAACGCTATTCATACTTTTTCTCTTCTTTCGATCTTGCAATATGTACTGCCAACTTATTTCCGCTTCTGTGTAAGAAAAATTCAAAATATAAATTAATAATTGTCATAATTACTTTTCAATAATTTAGAAAGAGGTGTTTAATTTTTACTCAGCTTTAAAAATTTGAATAAAATTTATCGAAAGTATTTAATTATTTTCCAATTCAATTGTAATAGATTTTCTCTTTACAATTTTTATAATTAATTGAATTTCAAAAGATTTTAAATTAAATTTTTAGAAAATTTAATAATTTTATTTTACTTACAAAATTTCCAAAAATAATTGAATTTCAAAAAGTTTCAAATTAAAGTTTTAGAAAATTTGAAATTTAATAATTTTAATAATTTGACTCAATTATTTAATAATTTTTCTTAAAAATTCCAAAAAATAATTAAATTTCACTAAAGTTGCATTTACGATTTTTATAAATAATTGAATTTCAAATAGTTTCAAATTAAAGTTTTAGAAAATTTGAATTTTAAAAAACTTTAATTGAAAAATTCGGAAAACTTAGTTTTTTGATCAATGTTTATTCAAAGTATTTTTTAAATTACTTGAATATTTGAATAATTCAAATTTCATAAAATTGAATTGTAAACAAGTGATTTTTGAGAAATATTTTAGGAGAATTTTCTTTTGATTATTTGAGTTTTTCAAGAAGTTTCTCTAAAATTATTTAAAATTATTTTATAATTAACTTAGAGAAGAATTTTACTTTTTATTCAAAACAATTAATTAGATTTTGTTATTATTTAATCTTTAAAAAATTTAATTAAAATTTTATTTAAAATTAAAAACATTACAAATTTAAAATATTGAAAAAATAAATTATCAAGAAAAATTAGAAAACAATTAAATTCAAATTGCGAACAAACTTCTAGAATACAAAAATGTATTAATAGAAGAAAAATAAGATTAAATTGTAATTAAATAATTATGATAATTTATCCACTTTTCTCAATTTTATCCTTAAAAGTTAGAATTAAAAATTTTTAAAATTACCATCTCTTTTACTTGGTGGCATTATATCGAGACCGATATTCTTTAAAAATCCAACTTTTGGCACAAAATCGGTAGAATGAAGCAGAACGTCCGGATGTTCTTTTGGAATCGGCAAAACCGATTCCACTGCCGGTTCAATTTCCATTGGCGGTTCTGGTGGATCCGGATTTAATCTATAGCGTTTCTCCACTTTATATAATTCCATTTCTGAAAAATTTACAATTCGCTTTTTAAATTATTTTCCTTTTTACTATTAAAATATTAATTACTTAATCTTATTTCAATTATCTTTAAAAATAATAAAATTTTTCTCCAAAATTTTTATAAAATTCTAAGCAAACATTAAATTATTTTCATAAGTAATAAAAATTCCACAGGAATTTAACTATTTACAAATTTCTTATAAATTTCTTCATTTATTATTTTATTATTATTTTCATAAATAATGAAATTTTTTAGAGATTCAATTATTTTCATGAATTAATAAAACTCATTATAAAATTTAAATTATTTTTAATACAATGTAACTGAATTTCTCGAAAAATGTAATTATTCTTGAAAATTTTATTAAAATTCGTCACAAAAAATTCAATTATTTAACAATTTATTGATAAAATTCTTTATGAGAATTCAATTTGGAGAAATATTTATTTATTCAATAAATTATGAAAATAATTGAACTCATACAACGAATTTGATTACTTAACTGAAATTCATTTTTAAATCAATTTTTATTAGAAAATTTTACTAGAATTCAATCATTTACATACAAAAAAAAATTAATTGAATATTTTAATGTTTTTTAAGATTGAATTCTCATAAAGAATTTTATCAACAAATTTGAATTTTTTCGAGAAATTTGAATAAAATTTTTAATAATAATTACGTTTTTCGAGGAATTCGATTAAAATTTTATTAAAAATAATTGAAATTCTGCAACGAGTTTTATTATTTATGAAAATAATTGAATTATTGCGAAAAAATTGGTAAATTATTGAATTCCTGTGAAATTTTTATTATTAAATATTTATTCTAAATAAAACTATTGATGATTTCGAATAATTTTACAATTAGAGAAATTAATAAATGTAAATAGAATAAATGTAATAGAACATTTTTTTGAGTGTCCAATAATTTTTAGAGTGAATCAAAATATTCTTTAGTGTCACGGAAAATGTTAAAATTGAGCAAAATATTTTTTGTGTAAAAATGTACAAAAATTTTAATAGAGAAATATTTCTTTTTCTGTTAAATCGTTGATTATAAATGTTGCAAACTTTACCAACGTAATTAATTGAAAATTGTAAGAATCGAAAGGAGATTTGTAGAATAAATAATTGGAATTACAAAATTAGAAAAATAAAATCAGAATTAGGTTGAAAGTGGATTTTTTAAAGAAATGTAATTTACCATTTTTGATGCTGAGAGTCGTTAAACCAAACATCGCAAGAAATGCAAGTTTCTCATTCGAATATTGCGGTTTCGAAGGCGGCCCTTTAGTAATCCAAAGATCAATTTCCTTACTATCGTCGTCTTCCGATTCCGAGTGACAATTATTACTGATACCATTATTTTTCTCACGCTTTCTCTTACGTCTCTTCTCAGCCAAATCGAGTGTTGAACGTAATTTTTTCGGCGATTCCGGTACACAAAAATAACCATCACTCTCATCTTCCTTTTTCAATAATAATGTTTTACTAATATCCGGCACATTTAATACCGCCGTCTCGTATTTCATCGGAATTTCCGTTAAATTATTGCACTTGTCAGTGATGCAGAAGCCTGTTGCCGTTTTTGTTGTTGTTGTTGTTGATTTTAATTCCCCAGTGGAAAAATTTAACAGCTTCTCCTGATACTTGGGTATTTGCAGTAGAACATTCGATACATTTTGACAGGTGCGCAACACCTCCTCCGATTTTATACTCTGTATAAGTTGTGCAGTGTCAATTGGCTTTTGTACATTATCATTTAATGTGAACTTGAATTTTTGTTGTTGAAACGGTTGTTGGATATTGTACTGAATATTGAAATTCTGTTCATTCTTGTTTTCCAAGTCGCCAGCTTTTCCCGAATTGTAGTTTGTCTGCCTATTGTCGACATTGTGATTCATTGATTTTAAATTTTGATTCTGATTCTGATTCTGATTCTGATTTTGATTTTGATTTTGAACCGATGTTTGTCCTGATTGTTGATTCAGCATTTGGCAGTGATTTAAATTTTGATTTAATGTTTGTAGTTGATTTGCAGTTTGGGAGGAGTTCAGAATTTGGTTTTGAGTTAAACTCTGGTTTGGGGTTAAACTTGGAGTTAAACTCTGGTTTGGGTTTAAACTTTGAGTTAAATTCTGATTTGGTGGTAAACTTGGAGTCAAACTCTGGTTTTGGGTTAAATTCTGGTTGGAACTTAAACTTTGGTTTGAATTTAAACCACGGGGGGAATTTAAGCTCGAGTTGGAATTTAAACTGGGGGTTGAATTCAGACAATGGTTGGTATTTAAATTCGGGGCTGAATTCAGACAGTGATTGGCATTTAAACTCGGGGCTGAATTTAGACAGTGGTTGGTATTTAAATTCGAATTTAGACTCTGGTTGGTATTTAGACTCGAATTCGAGTTTAGACCCTGATTGGCATTTAACATCGAGTTCGAATTCAGACCCTGATTGGTATTCAACATCGAGTTCGAATTCAGACCATGATTGGAGTTTTGATTTGGGTTCAGATTGTGACTTTGGTTGTTGGGGTTTCCTAGATTCGAACCCGAATCGTGACTTGATTCCTGATTCGATTCTTGAATGCGAGCTTGGCTGTCGTTTTCTTTTTCGTTAACCTTCTCCCTACTTTTCTCGAAGACCTCCTTGTTCTCCTTCTCTGGATTATTGTTATTTTGGGTATTGAACATTTTTGCGTTTTGTGGCACGTGGCTCAGATAATAATTGGCCGAGGCGATTGGCTGGGGGATTTTTTCTCCGTTATTCGAAGTCGATGTGTTTGTTTCTCGAGATTCGTGATTGTGATTGTGATTCTGATGCTTTAAACTATCAGCGGTATTTCCGTTCGAATTGGATAGACTTAATTTTTGGTGCTGATGATGTATTGGGGGTGAGGAGAAGTGAGGTGGCTTGTAAAGACTTGGGACGTGAGTGACGGGAATGTGGGGATGATGAAATGGCGGTGGATAGGGAATTGGTTGCATCATTTGATGTTGATGGTTTGTTTTTGAATTTGCATCCTTGCAGGAGGTTTCGGTGATTTGATTGATTAGTGAGGGGGCAATTGACACGTATGTTTTCATCAGTGAGTCCTGATTTGTTATAATCTGCGAATGATTGTTTGTTAGGGTTCTCTGGGGTGGTTTTGTTGTGGAGCGAAAAGAATCTTCGAAGGGTCTCACGAAGGCTGGTTGTGGATTTACTGGCACTGTTGATGTTGTTGTTGTCACTGCTGGAGTTGTCGTTATTGATGATGATGTCGTTGAAATTACTGTACTAATAGGCGTTGAGGTTGTTATCGATGATGATGATTCTTTACTCCTTGCGTGAAGTCCGTGAGAAATTGGTGGCGATTTGCCGGCGTTGCTTGTCTGATTCCCTGGAAAGTAACAAAATACTTCAAATTAAGAAACACAGTGGTTAGAAATTTTGAAACAAATTTAGAAACTGCTTTTAGTCTTTTAGAAACAAAGTAGTTGTCTGTTCCATTTAAAGTTAGTTTTTATTGTCTTGGTAGTGAATTGGATTATTGTATTGGACGAAAAAAGTTTGTCGAAAATAGAACTTAAACTGTATTGTTATACAATAAGTGGTTGTGGTTAATGTTTTGCATAATAGTTTTGGTAATTGTTTTGCTTATTGTTTTAGTTAGTGTTTTGATTTCTCTTTATGATTTTGCAGAAAATCCTCCTGTTTTCCTTCGCTTAAAGAAAAAGACTAGAAGAATAGAGATAAAGATGTTTCGCTTAAAGAATAAACTCTGCTCTAAAGTGAACTTTCTGCTGTTACAGTGCAATAGTTACCAGAGGGCGAGACTCCGGAGAGAGAATGGGTGACGTGCGTGGTCATCATTCCGCTTGCGGATAAAGTATTAACAGTCGTTGTACATCCAGACGAGTGGATTCGATGCTGAGGTGGAAGTGGTTGCTGGTACAATGAAGAACTGGCCGTAGAAGTTGTACTCAAAATTGTAGCTGTATGCTGACTAGAATGAATGGTACATGTTGGTACAGGCGGAAGGTGTAGTGAGGGTATCGAGATGATTGGAGCAAGAGGGATATTCAGTGATTGTGGACCAATAACGCCTGGGATTTGAGGAGGACAAATGGGTGACGACGTTATTGTTGGTGGTCCAAGATTAAGAGTCGATAAATTTGTCCCCATTGGAGAGGGAATTGGTGCTGAACTAACGGGACAAATAGGAGCAGAACCCATTGATGGTGGACCTATTGGTGTTGTTGAATTTGGAAATTGTGATAGGCGAGAATGATAGAGGCTTGTTGATGGATCTGACGACGATTGTTGTTGTTGTTGTTGTTGTTGTTGTTGTTGTTGTTGTTGTTGTGGCGGAAGATGGGAAAGGGAAGATTGTTCTTCCTTTCGCTGTTGATGATGATTGCCGATGGTCCCTCCGTTTGAATTAATATTGCTAGGATTGTTGTTATTGTTACTGATCGTCGTTCGATCCCTCTCTCGCTCTCTATCACGATCGCGCTCCCTCTCGCTGCTGTGCAACTGAGCCGCTATGGTCGGCTTCCTAGCTGGAACAAATCCCGAACACAGTGCTTGGTAACATTCCACTAAAATTTTTCCTAACACTAACAAACGCCAACAACATGTCAAAGTCGTCGCAATTCTGATTCAAAAATCCAAACGACTTTCACATGCCCTTAAAGAACATTCCAAGTCCACTTTGCCATTTTTTTTTTCATTAACACTACTACAAAAATAGAAAATACTATTGAAATTTTAATACACTCGGAATATTCCTTTTGCGTTCTTTTTTCATACATAAATAATAAAAATTGTAAAAAGAATTGGGTATGGGGGTGGTGGGGGGGTCGTTAATTATAGGAATGAAAGAGATGAATTTTAAAACTCATTAATATAATCATTACATCAGAGAACAAATATGTTAAAAAACACTTTTTGCATTTTTTTTGTTTTTCGTGCAAAATAAAAAATAAAGATGTAAGAAATGATTATATCCTTTTTTATAGAAAAACATATACTTTAATATATAGAGTTCAGCAGTAAGTAGACAATAAAAGAGAGAGATATTTTTCAATCTTACCTTTTCTTTCATATAGAATGTAATTTTACATTTTCATTACATATTTTACGGCTGCAATCCTTTTCTGATACGAGAAGGAATTTTTATTTATAATTAAAATACTTAATACCTATATTAGAAAAAAAATATTGTAAATCTTCAAAATCGATAAAAAAAAATACTTTTTCGTTTTGAAAAAATTAATTTCGTTAATTTAATGAATTTGAAAATTCACCTCTTTCTTAATCACACATTAATTTATTTTTTTTACCAAAATTTGACTTTGTCAGTATTTTCATTTAAATTTTAGATTTTTTTTTAAAAAAAATTTTTCTTTCCACACGTTTTTTTGGTTTTGACAAAAAAGAAACATTTATTTCGGCGAGGTATTCGATTTTTTTACAATTTTTTATTACAAGTATATTAAAAAAGAGTTATAATTATTTACAATTTACAGATAGTAATTATTAAAAAAAAACACAGTTCTCTTAATGTAAAATAGAAAACAAGTTTTACAAAAAAATTTAATATAAGTACATTTTTTGAAACTTGCGCAAACTTGGAAAGAAAATTAATTTCTTTCCTATTTAGAAATTTGTTTGTTCTTTTTAGATTTAAAATTAAGAGGTAGTTTCAAATAATTTACTTGTTTTACAAAAAATTTCTTAGAAAATAAATTTTTTACAAAATTCTCAATAAAATATTCGTGATGCCCTTGAAAACTTACCGAAATTTTTTTTTTTTTTGTATTTCTATCTTATTACGCTAATAATTTTTAATATCGATGAAGTATTGGGGATGATTACCGTCGATAAAATAATTTAGCAAAAAAAAAAAAAAAAAAAAAAATTAAAAACGAAAAGCGAAAAATAAATCACCGATAGCGATCGTAATCTCTTTTTCGGGCAATTTTTTTTTCTACATCGATTCGCAAAAAGGAAAATTTTTCCGAAATTATTTTCTTTATATGAATCTTCCCCAAAACTGTTTCAGAAAACGGTTCAAGGGTCAAGAATATCAAGTCCATTAGAATTTTGATCACTTTATGAAATATTTATTTTTCAGATGATATTCCAAATATACATGTTTACATAATAAATTATATAAAAGTGATATAATTTTGACAAATGAATAGGCGTCTCACAAGATTTTTTTTAACTTTTTAAATATGTACATCGGTTTATTCGGTCAGTGTAAATAAGGATAAGTGTTTTTTTCTACTTTCTTCCTCTTCCTTGTTTTCAATATTTTTTTACAATCCAAAAAAAACTTTACCTCGATGTTTAATATTTCGTTTATTTTTTTTATTAAATATTGGAACATTTCTAAAACAGTTGCGGGAACCAACGCAAGAGTGCAGTGCGCCTAACAAAAAGAACAGATCAACATTTCAGTTAAAACAATTAAAAAAAAAAATTCCCGAAACACTTAAAATATATTCCAAAGCGAATATTTTACAAAATTATTTCAATTATCTCAACATAAAATATTTTTATTTAAATATTTTAAGTTTGAAAATATTTGAATTAGAAATATTGGAGTATTGGAAATATTTGACATAATTTAAAAATATTTTCCCATTTGCTCGGATCGGGTTTTTTTTCTTTTACACGAAGACATTAAATACTGATCGAATATTAATTCTACAAAAATAAAAAATACATATACAAAAAAAATATGGTACGTACATTTCTAGTGAATAAAAAAACACCTAATAGTAAATTTTTTAAAAAGAGAACTAAATTCGATAAATCTTTTTTTTATCGTTTTCGTATTTTTCCTTCTTCTCGAAATTATTAATTAGAAAAATATACACGAGCCCTTCCTTTAGGTGTTGTGCACTCTTAGGTTTAAGTCAATACAAAATACTTTTAATTAACTACCTACGCATCGATCCTCTTTTTTTTCTTAGTGATTGTACAAAAAGACGAATTATAACATTTTCTTTCATCCTTGACCGAGACTGACCGAAGGCCGACTTAGTTTTTCTTTCGACCATTTTCCATTTTTCTTGGGTATCAAAGGATTTTTTTTTTAATTATGGAACTATTTTCTTTTTATAAGTCAGGCTTTGGTCTGATTTTTTAAGTGTAAAAAAATTGCTCGATCTGCTAAAAAATCGAACATTAGGAAATTTATTTTCTATGTATACTAGTGGCACTATTTATGGACAGTAAGTTTTTTTCTTGTTTGATTTTCGACAATTAGTTGCGTGTTAATTACAAGGATCTCTCTTACTCACTCTCTCTCACTCTCTCTCGCTATTTCTCAATCTTTCGTTTTCTCGTTTCTTTTTCTTTGCAATCGGTAAAAAATCTTTCTCGAACTTTGTTTCTCAATATTTTCAGTTACTAAATCGTAATGGTAATATATTTTTTTGTTTCTCAATCAACACGATTAGTTAATTATTCAATTCATTAGTTTAGTAAATTAATATGTTAATTTAATTTAAAAAAGAAAATATTACAGCAAATTAAATTATTTTGTAGAAATTATTAAAATTAGTAAAAAAAAGGTTAAATTAATTTGCAAAATTAATCAATAAAATTAATTTACCAAATTAAATTTATAATAAAATTAAGAGAATTTGCAAATCATTCGAACTAGATTAAATTAATTAATAAAATTAATTTGCAGAATTAATTAATAACATTAATTTGCTAAATTAATTAATAAAATTAATTTGCTAAATTAATTAATAAAATTAATTAGCCAAATTAACTAATAAAATTAATTTACCAAATTAATTATTAAAATTAGTTTGAAATTAATTTAATTGGCAAATAGCAATACTAAATTACTAATTAGTAATTGTGTATTAATCAGAAAATTAAAATACTATATAATAGCAAATAGAAATTTAATCAGCCGATAACACCAAATTAATTAACAAATTGATATACTAAACTAATATATTAATTTAATTGACAAAATAATATATTAAATTTTTGCGAATAATACTAATTAACTGGTTGATTGATGAATTTAGTTAAAAATTTACCAAAATATTGATTTAACTAATTAGCATTAGTAATAATAATAATAGATTAATAAGTGGAGCAGATCTGCAGTGGAGCGGCCAGAGTCTTTCGTTTAAGAACATTAGTAAAATAATACCTATCACAAGTTCTAAAGAAAGCTTGGCAAAAAAAAAATAAAAAAAATTAACAAATATTCAAAATTTGCTGCCCCAATTTTCTAAATGCTTATCTAAATTTTTTTTCAATTATTTAATCTAGCTTCGTGAGAAATGAACTATAACTATAACTTTCATTAATTATTATAGTTTAAGATTAGAAGCGTAGTAGTTTTTTTTCTTTATTCTTCTTTTTTTTCTTTTAATGTCTCTCACAGTCAGTTTGTTTTTTTATTTTAAAATGACTTTTGTTTTGCACAGTTCGCCAAATTTAATGGCACAATAAATTTGAATTGAAACTATCCCGTTGTGTGTGAGTTGAGAAAACGATCGCTTGGCATTCGATTTACAAAGATTTTTCTAAAAAAAAAAAAATAATAAAAACAAAAAATAATGAAAAGAAAAAAATTTGTTTTCCGTACTGACTCATTGTCCAAGAAAAAAAAAATTAAAAACACTCATTCATATATTCGTAAAAAAAAATTCTCTATTTACCGGATACGGAATTTTCTTCTAGTTGATTTTTTTCACACTTTTTTCAGCTTTAAAGACTAGAAGAATGATCTGGCACGATAGGGTTGTTCCTTTATGGTTTTTTTAAATTTTTTTATTGAAGAGATGAAAAAACCAGTTCTTTTTTCGATATTGTTCGTTCGTCAAAAAACGATTCCTCCATCGTCTTGCTGACTAAAAATTATTACTAAAAATAAATAGACAAGGCCTATCAGATCGAATTGTGTAAATTTAATGAATATTTTTTTTAAGAGACAATTTTTATTTTCTCTCTGCGAATTGATGATGGAGAAAAAAAATTTCCGGGAGTGATGATTTTTTTTTCTTTGTTCCCCCCGGAGATCAGGCGAAGTATTGAGAGTTGAGGGGGGAAGAATAAAAAGAGTACAAACGATCTGATAAACCTCGACTTATGCGTGACGTTTTTTTCTTTCAATGGAAGGCAGTAGGGGGTGGAGCGACTCGCTCACCTGCAGTATCAGCAGATGCAGGCGCAGGTGCTGCGACAGGGGCTGTGGGAGCTGAATTTCGTGCTACTCTTCTCCTCTCCTCCTCCTCACGTAGTACAGCCTGCTCTCTTGCCTGCCTCAATCTGTGTTCCTCTTCCAGCTTCAGTCTGCAAAAAATTTAAAGAAACCATTTTTTAAATTCAATTTACTCTTTGAAATTCAAAAAATATTTTTTTTTTACTTTTTAAAAAAAAAAAACGAATGGAATTATTTTTTTCAATCAATATAAATAATATTAATCCTTTATAATAATTTATTCAAAATAAAATTACCCGCTGTTCAAAATTATTAACATTTATTTGACATTATTAATATCGATAGCGAATTTTAATTAATAACATTATTAATTAAACTCAATTTATAATAATAATAATAATAATAATAATAATAATAATAATAATACACGGAAAGAAAATAAATATTTTTTGTAAAAGTATTTTACAATTTGGGGTAAAAATGCAACAAAGCGAAATTTTTATATGAAAAAAGTAATTAATTGAGCAAATTAAGTTCATAAAGTAAATTTATTAGTTACTTTAACAAATTAATTATATTAGTTAATTTAACAACGTAATTTAATTAAATAATTTAGCAAATTAACTTCATTAATTAACTAGCAAATGTTACGAGAGCTAGCGCGCAAAACGCGATGTTCAATTTTTTTTCAAATTAAAAAATTTGTTATTTTCAAATATGAATTTTTGAATAGTTTCAGATTGCTAAAATTTAATTAGGTATTTTTAAATAAAATTGTAATATAACATTTCACGAATGAATAAAATTATTTTTTTAAATTTTAATAAAATCCTTCGAAACAATGCAATTATTTTTTTAAATTTGTAAAATTCTTTGGAAAAATTCAATTATTTAAAAAAAAAAATTCCACAAACGAATTCAATTTTTTTCTTAATTATTAGTTATAAAATTTTTCAAAAGAATTCAATTATTTTCCAAAAATTTTAATAAATTCTTTGCAAGAATTCAATTATTTTCTAAAACTTTTTGAAAGAATTGTTCATAAACTTTAATTATTTTTAAAATTTTTATAAAAACTCCCATTATTTAAAAAAAAAAAATCAAAGAAATTCTGCAAAAAAAAATTTAATTAGAATTATCAAAAATTTTAACATAATTCTTCACGAGAATTCAATTATTTTTCTAAATAAAAAAAATTCTTTAAAGGAATTCTATTATCAAATTTGTTGATAAAATTTTTTGCAACAATTCGATGATTTTCAATAAATTAATTTTAAAAATGAAAATTATTTAAAAAGAAAAAATATTTAAAAACTTGGGAAACATAAAAGCAAACAATAACTAACTTCAAGCTGTGAACAGATTACCAGAATACAACGATTATTAATATAGATTTGGTAAATTTAATAATTTTAATAATTTTTATTAATTAATTTAATTTATTCTAATAATTTTTTTTAATTAAATTAAAATATCAAGTTACTGAATTTTGAAAAAAATTATACGAAATCTAGTAAAATTATGTAAAAATTTAAATTTAAATTTATTTGAAATAACTAATAAATTTCACATAATTTTTTTTTAAAGTTTAGTATTTTTAATATAAAAATTTTGCTTTGTCGCATTTTCACCCCAAATTGTAAAATACTTTTAGAAAATGGAAAATAAATAATTTTCCCTCCATATATTAATAAAAAAATTAATAATAAAAAATAATTAATTAATAATTTTAAAAAATTAATAAGTTTTAATAATAGTTTCATAGAAAGCTCTGCATTTGAATATTATTGACACAAAAAATTATTTATATTTTGAAGTTGAAAATAATAATTTTTTTTGTTTATAAAAATAATAATATTTACCGTTCGTGCATCACTGGGGACATGAGGCTCAGCGAACCCGGTGGCATCATGTCTTGACTATATCTCAATCCATAGAGAGGATATGATGGGAGGCCAGGAAACAATGGCTGTCTCAACATATTACATCTCTCCAAATACAATTGTTCTTCTATTCTGTAAGCATAAGAAAAAAGTGGACTTGAATATTTTTTAATTCATTTTTTTTTAATTTTTAGACAAAAGCAAAATTATTTTTTTTACTATATAAAACTTATATTTTTAGAAAAATTTTATAAAAGCGTTCACAAGTCGATACTTGTGTTTAATGAAGATAAATCGTAAAATTGTGATAATCACAAAACTTGAATGAATTATTTCCATCTGCAGTAACTTTAGATTTAGAAAAAAAAGTTCCCTTATTCCAACTCCAATATAAACAATAAAAACTAATTTATTTAATTTTTATTAGTATTTTTTGGTTTAAAATTAGAATCCCCCCAGATTTTTAACCGGTTTATTTTTAACTTTCCAACCCCCCGCTTTTTAAAAATTAGGTTTCATACCACTTTCCTCTTCTGAAAGTTCTGCTGCTTTTATTTAAAATTTAATAATACGTTAAAAAATTAATATGTTTGCATACTTTTAGTTTAGGCCATACACTCAGAAAAAAGATAAAATTGACTCAGAGCCATTAGAAATTTTATTTGGTTTCAATGAAATTTTATTTTGTTCATATTAATTTTATTTGGTTCAAATAAAAGATTTTTTTGTCGAATAAAACTTTTATTTACAACAAATAAATAATCTAGTTGCCTTTGAGAACAGCTTTTAAAAGAAAACTTATATCGTAGATTTCACTTTAAATATTTGCCCACATTTTTAGTTTGGATAAAAAAATATTATAAAACTGAAACTGGTACCCAATTATCAGCACCGTTCTAATTTTGAAAATTTTATTTTAATTTTTAGAGGGCCGGGGTAACCATTTATTTTGACGAATCTTTTTATCAAATTGACTTCTTATTTATAAATTTTTTAAAATAAAAAACTATCGGTAGTCTAAAGGTTAAAGTTAAATATATTTATTTTAAAGTCAACAAGAAATTTTGAAAACTGAAGTGGATGCTGATAATAGGGAGCAAGCTTCAGATTTATAAAAAATATTTAACGTTAAAATTTAATTTCCAAAATTAACTGGTTGCTGATGATTGGGTGACAGTTTTAGTATCATAAAAATATTTATAGTTCTCGGATATTTCTGAAATTTTTGAGTTATTTTACTTTCGAAATTCGTCATAAAAAATGGATTGTTCGAAGTTGACCAAGTGGTATGAATCCTTAGTTCTTAAGAAGCTCGAATATTATATTTTCCTTTGTCAAATTCCAGTAGTATATTTCTACTATATTTTTGAAATTCCTTAATTCTTACCTATAAGCGTGTTGCAAGTGTGGTGGTGGATAGAGACTATGATGATAGGGACTGTAGGCGGCGGGGTCCAGGGCAAAAGGTGGTGGCGGTGCATGAGCGGGATGATGTTCGGGCCGATAGGGTTGAAAACCAGATCTGGCCAGTAATTCGGAAGCTGTGGCAGTAACATTGTGTTTGCTGGTCTCTGCAGGCCTGGCAGTTGTATATAAAGAAGGTATTTCTTCTGGTCGACGCTCATGTGTCGTTCGCTCCTAAAACAAAAAAGCAAAACCAATTTCATTGTCATTTCTTCAGTAGTGAAAGAATATTTTTTATTTTCTAATCAAGAAAAGGAAAATGCTGTTAATAATCTTTTTCAAATAGTAGAATTTAACTTCCTTTTTTCCAAATTGAAATACCAGTTAATTTATTAATCAGACATTTATTCTCGTGTGAATTTCTACTCATGAAACTATTCCAATAGCTAAAGAGAAAGTCGGAAGTGTTTTTTAATATTTCAAGCAAATACCGAGGTTTATTACCGTAATTATTTGCTTTTCTCTTTTCTTCCTATATAAATTAGGAAATTTTATCGGATATTACAAATTTGCAAACATCTGCATTAGATTTTACTCTAAGTGCAATATTTAAGTATCTCTATTTGTACGGTTCGATAATTTCGATAATTCACGGTAAATTGTTTCCGAGGAACGAACTTGATAATAAATCCTACTGTTCTCCCTTTCTTTTGGGTATTGCGTTTAGGATTTAATAACACAAGTATAGTTTATTTTTCTGAAAGGTAATTGTCTGCTATTGATGCAAAATTTCCTTGGACGAATTGTGCGCACCTCCGGGTTTCGATTTAGCTGCGGATGATCACCTACTTTACAAGCGTAGCAGAAGAAAAGATGAGAGCCTGAGAAGTTCTTTGATCTTCCGATTATCGCAGCTAAGCTATTTTCCTTTTCGCTCGAATGAACTTCTTTTTCATTTTGAGAATATTTCAAACTGTCGTTTCCTTTTTCGTATCAACGATTTCCGATTCTATTGAATTTCTTTCACCCCCATCCCTTATTGCCTATATAGAGTTTCTTCTCCATATCCGTTAATGCTGATTAATATATTTCAACTTTGATGTCAGTAAATAAAAGTCGATATGGAGTGAAAAGACTTTTGGGTAAAGAAATCATCAAAAGACTTCATCTAACTCTAAGTTTGGAGATGTTTCGTCTACAACTTTGGACTTTCTCATTAGAATTAAACAAAGTCGAATGATAGGTAGCCGTTAATCTTGCCACAAGATTAGCTGGGGTTATTTCTAGAACCAGTGACTCTTGTTAACCCTTTGCTGATGCTAACGACCATGGTCCTAACCAGGCGTCAAAAATCAAAAATTTTTGACGATTTTTGATGCCTGGTTAGGGACCTTGGTCGTTTAGCATCACTCGATTTAAAATTAAATAGAATAGATGATTACCTTGGCAGGAGACGGCCCTCGAACAAGAGGAGGAGGCGCTCGGTTTTTAGGACTAGCTCGCGGCTCCTCCTCTTGAGGTGCTGGACCCGCTTGTTTCGCCAGACATCTCAGGGCAGCTGCGAAACTTCGACTATTTTGCTGAGTCCCAGGACCCGGTCCGGGAGTGTGACCTTGAGGTAAAACACCGGAACTCGGTCTGTGAGACTTTCCGATTGTTGGTGGTTGAGCTTTGGTGCTAGCAGGCTGAAGACCTAAAACAGAAAATACAAAAAAACACTTAGTTTTGCAAATCTTCATCTCTATTATACATTTGTTTTAAAAAATGTTAGCAAATTTCGTTAAATCAACAATATAGAAAGGGGTTGTGAATTCCGCTTTGTAGGAACTGTAGGAAGTAAAAGCAAAATGGAAAACTGAGGAGAAAGGAATGAAAAAGTGTGGAACGATTTTCTCCCTTTTTTCAGAGAGAACTATTGTCTTGGCACTGCTCTCTGAAGATAAGATAGCAAAAAAGGGAGAAAGGGGATTTTTAGTATCGTGGCAAAGAGGTCCTCTCCCCTACACCCGGGATGGAAGATAGCGAGAAAATAAACAGAGAAGAAAGGTGGAAAAATGTCAGCTTAGGCTATATAGATGTATACAGGAAAAGGTGGTTTTGCGCGCTCTCCATTCAATTCCTCATCACGAGAGTGCACACCTTCGTGCAGTGCTCTGCTGAGGATCTCTTTCTGTCTTATTCAACGATGCTCTCATCCCGTTCCCTGCCGTTCCCCTTAAAGTACTCTTCCAGAACACTATTTCTTTTCATTTCTATTTTACCCTCGGTCGGTATCCGCGCAACGACCCTTACCTTATCGTCTGACGGGCAAAAATAAGACAAAATCAGAAAAAAAGAGATGACAAAGGAAAAAAATATTCTTTCCCTTAAATACTAATGTTATTTTTACTCTTTTTTTCTTTCAGATTTTTAATGAAAAAGGAAGTTATATTAAAGTTTCGCCATTTGTCGTTGGGGACACAAATGAAAAAAACTAGAAGGACCACCAAGGAAGGAGAATGGGAGATCTGACGCTGAGAGTGAAGTTAATTATCGACTCCGAGCTAATTGGTATTCGCAGATGGGCTTCACCGACTACTGGGCACACTGAGGAAAATATCAGATGAGATAATTGGACGATTAGCAGGTTGCTCGAGTTGCCAGACTCGCTATCAACGTCCGGTGAGTAAATTTCATTTCGCATTTTTATTAATACCAAAAAGGATGTGTATCTACCGACGTTATTTACCCTTCCTGTTCAATTACCATTGTTTTTAATTTAAAAAATATTTACAAAATCTCATGTCACAAACTTTTCTCTTGTTACAAACAGTTTTTCTGACAACAAACAGTATTTGACAAAAATTAAGGTCCTTGAAAAAATACCGAAATCAGAAATAAAAAACCAGAAGGGGAGAAATAAAATTTTATTTACAAACTCTTGAAAGGTTTTCTTGAAAGAAAATTTCATGAATGCCAGTTTTCGAAAGAGAGAACATTAAGTGGCGTGGATTTTATTGGAAAATATACGTAAACGAGTATTAAGGAAAAGAAAAAAAAGAAAAAAAAAAGAAAAAACCCGACCAGACTAGATTTTCAACGCGGGAACGGTTACGCAAAGAAGCGGATTTCAGTGGGAGTTGACTCTCTGTCGTGCAAGGGGGTGATTCGAGGGTGGGTGTTAAGCGGCTTACAGTCTGTTACCATGGTAACACCATACCACTAAGACACGCGAGAGACGAATCCCCCTGAATAGAGCTCCTGTGACCCTCTCCACCTCGGCTCGAACACCAAACCCTCTCTCTCTATCTTTATCTCGTTTGCAAGCAGGATAGAATATGGCCATTGGGATTACGCCACTAACTCTGTTTTTACATCAAAGTGCTTTTGCATTCGAAATAATGAATTTAACCCATTTTCACGCTTTTGTTTTTACTGCGCGCACCTTTATTTTCGCTAATTCGGAGTCTAAGCCACATTTGTTTTATTTACCGGAAAAAAGAGGTTCTTGATTAGATGGCATTTTTGAGCCCCGGGGGAAAGAAAATCTGGTTTTATAGGTGTTTGTAAGGGGTCGTCGAGTAATTTGTGACAATCCGCAGAAGAAATGACGCTAATGTGACATGGATGGTCAAAAATGGTCGAAAATAGTATGACATGGATGGCTATAATTATGTATTACATCTACTGGATTTATGAAAAAGGTTTTTTATGAAAAGGTTAGATTTAGGTAGAGGAGGCATGGTCTGTAAGGGGTCAGAGGGAGCATGAGAAGCGTTGGGCGGGGATCAGCATGGAAAGACAGGCGAGGCCAGCAGAGGTTGGGGTCGAAACTTAACAAGAAGTTCGCGAAGTGCCTCCTAAAACTCGATAAGATCTGCTAGAATTCGTGGATTAACCATGGGCACAAAATAGAATCCTTCCCCTATGAGGAAGCAATAGTTTTGGAAAAGTTTAGCCCAAGTGTCAAAAGTGTGGATCATGAATTTGTTATGAATTATAAATCAAAATATTTTTAATTTTATTTCCCGGGTAAACAAATAAGAAGTATTTAAATATTAAATTTAGTCATTAATAAAACGACTTTTTCGACTTGTTTTGTGTTTTTAACGACTAAAGCGATTTTCTTAAATCTTAAAGAAGATCCGCGCCCGAAAAAATTATTCATTTATATCAGTGTCATAAAAAATAGAGAAATGGAGTACATTTTTCTTTTTTATATGTAAATGACAATATTCAAAGTCGAAGATTGAAATAAAGAGCTCATAAAAAAGGAAAAAGAAAGCCTGAAAGTCTGTTCCAAGATGGTTTTTCTTCAAGTTGGTTCTTTTTATTTCTTTGTTTAATGGTTTGAGGGAGGTAATGTTCCTTCAAGACGGTCGGATTTTCGCCCCTTTTGAGAACAGTCAGAACCATTTGCCAACCCCTCAGCGATATATATTCCCCACTTTTGTTGTAGTAGTAGAGAAGTACTCGTCGCACACGTAATATATGCATATTGTCCGGGAATTTATAGCACGTCCCGAAATTCGTAGGGTGCAAAGTCACGTATTTTAGGATTTCAATCTCAAACCCCCGGCTCTTATAACTCCCACTACTACGTGGCTCCTTTTTTTCTCTTCTCTAATACCAAAGTCTGATTTTCATTTCCTCCTGACTTGACAATCGATGTTGGAACCCCAAGAAATTATTCCTACAATTTTTTCCCCTTTATTCTTCTTTTCTTTTTTTTCGAATTATTATTATCATTGTTCAGGGCTCGAACCAGTGAAAGTATTTCAAAAAAACGGACTTTATCCGTATTAGAAATTAAAAATTACGGAACATTTACGGACCAACTGACAAAAATATAATCAGGCCGAGTCAAATAAGAGAACATTTTACTTCAAACTATAATAAATTTAATTTTTCATAACTATAAAACTATAAAACTGCGATGAGTTATTTATTATTTGTGATAATAATTGAATCCCTGCGAAGAATTTTATTACTTTTGAAAATCATTGAATTTCTGCAATCATTTAAAATTTCTTCAAAATTCTCCAAATTATAATAGCACAATTTACGGACTTTTCATCCTTCTTGAATCAAATTACGGACTTTACGGACCTAGTTCGAGCCCTGATTGTTTCAAGAATTATTATCATGTATTCAAGAAGTCGTGGGGAAAGTTAGTAAATTTGCGTGACGAAAGTAAAAATTTAGTTTTAATTGGACCAAACTGGGATTTGGAACAGAAAATATTTTGCAACGGGCTAAATGGAAGAAAGAGGAAAAATAATTTTACCTTTATGGCTAAAGTTATTTCTGCTCGTTCACATAAATCATATTAGATGGCAAGAGACGCCTATTGCAATCGATTTCTATTTGAAGTTCATAAGAAAGTTTCAATATTGAACCTATAAGGTCTCATGTTGAAGGAAAATTGTGGTCTTTCAGAAAATACAATGAGTTATCGTTTCTATGTGAGAAGTTCGTCAATATACATGTATATTTCTTTTTCTCTCTTTCTCTCTCTCTCTCTTTCTAGAAAATTCGTTGAGCCAAGAATATTCCTTGGAGAGTGCTTTATATATAAAAACGATGAAAACTACGAAAAGGCAATGGCATATTGAACTACCAACCCCAATATCTCTTTTTCTCAATTTCTTATATTCCATTTTATTTCGTCTCCTTTCTCTCTATGAATGTCGTTCTTATTTTTTCCCATTTCCCTCTTTTTATCCCCTACACATATAAATATATAAAGCTTGTTCGTTTTCTTCTTTCGCTCGCATCTAAATCTAGGTAAACAATTCCATCCGCACAACAATTTCATCCTCTTTTTTCCCGCAAGGAAAACCATACCAAGAAAAAAGGAAACATTTTTCAAGGTGTTTGCGTCACTCAGAGAGAGGGAGAGAGAGGTTTAATAAGTTCTGAAGATGAAGAAAATTTGTCGTCAAGAAGAGAAGAATGTTTAGACGTTGTAAAAATTCAATACACATTAACACATTTTTTATTTGAATGCAACAAAAATTAATTTATGTTTCTTATGGTTCATAATAATTCGATGAAATTAATGAAATACGGATAATGTGGTTTTTTTCGGAAACGAATAGTTTTGTGTATTCCTTGCAATAACGAATTAGTCAGATTACAATGTATGTAGGGTGAGGGGTTCACGTCTATTTATCTCCCCTTTGTGACTCCCTTAGTCCTAACATCAAATGTTACGACTTCAATTGACAGCTTATCGAATCACGTAAATGCCGGATTAGCGGTATCATCGAATTATTGGAATCCCCTTTGCCCGCAGTCAAACCCTCCTCTCCTTTTTTTTTTACTTTTTTTTACCATCCAAAGGTCCAAGATTAATGGCCAATTACATTAATGTTTCATTCAATCAAGCCTATATTTATCGAATCACAATTTTTCGAAACAGATGCTTCATGATAAAACAGTCGATATTTTTCAAAATCGTCATCTCTTTTTTCGTTTTTAATTAGTCTCTTCGTTTAAAAAGAAGAGTTTTTTTTCCAAAAATGTTTCAAAAATTAGTAAAATTCTGGTTCAAATATTCTAATAGAATTTGTTAATGAACAGTTTTTGTTGATAAAATTTCCTCTCTGTTTGAAAGAAAAAGATTTGTTCAACTTGAAATTGTGTAAAATCACCTTTTTATCGGTTATACATGCATAGAACAAATTCTGGGAATGAAATGTATATATTCGATCGAGTAAATAACTAAATATTGCATGGGACGGAAAAAGACATCAATTTTTTTTGTTTTTTT